TTTTCCTTTTTTTTGGCCGAATTAGAAAAGAATGGCTTCTTCTTTCTATTTTGGTTGCCGACTCCCCTGGGCTACCACCAACCACTCGGTGACATTAAAGGACGCGGCAGGAGCCCTGCAAGCGACAGCTTCGTGGCGCCCGCTCGGCTCAAACGGCAGAATCACGGCCCCTAGCCCCCCCCGAGGCTGTTAATTGGCCGCGAAGGCACCGCCGCCGCCGCACTTTATGCGGCGGTGACTTCAAACGCCGAGCGCGGTCACTCGGCTGCACTCGCACGGACGCCACCGTCACCCCCCCCTGCCCCCCGCGTGTCCCTGCTTCGGGCAGCGACCCGCTCTCCCCTCCCCCCAACGTCACGTCAACGTCTCTCTCTCTCTCTGTTCTTGTACCTCGCCCTCTATGCATTAAAATCTCTGAGTGTACAAGGTTTTAGCTGCAAGTTCGCTTCGTACAATTTGGCGTAAGTTTTGCGATCACGGTGATCCTGCGGGCAGAGCGAGCGGCCTGCAAATCCTGATTGGGGGGTTAACTCAGCCCATCCCCCACTTAAGAGGTCAATATAATTGGTACCACTTTGTGGCGAAGTCAACGGTGGTTGTACTGTGGACTAGACTCACCCCACGCCATAGGAATGTGGAAATTCCACCACTGACTCAGGGATGCAAATAGAAGACGAGAACTGCCTCAATGTCCATTTGAGCAGAAAACCACATCGGCTTTTGACGGCAGTGCTGCTGTGTCATTTACCTACACTGATGGGTAATGTTTCACTTTATTGTAGGTATGGCCCAGTGCCATATACTTTTATTGTCTAAATACTGTTCGTGTTAAAAGGTCCAATGGAAGCTACAGAGTAGTTGGATATGGCACCAGTCTCAGGAGGAACAGAGAAAACACGCAGGGAGTAAGTTAGTGAACTATTAATGTTAAGAAATCCACAGAACACAGTCGTGCAGACCACCTGCATTCATGACAGCAGACTCATGCTGCAAGCTAAAGATGCTGCAAGTTTCCACCAAGTTTGGATTATAGAATTCACAACTGATGCTAAATGGAAGTCTTTCCGAAAAAAATTTCGTGCAAGTTATATCATCTTTTTTCTCTCATGCATTTTCTCCAGCGTTTTAGAAGTAACGGTTTTTAACAAAGAACCCGTGTCGTCCTTCCATTTTCTGTTTCTGAATTGCCGGCATCAAAGAGCCACTTTTGGAGCCACTGCAACAGCCTCCCCCATTGTAACACCAGGGGGCAACTTCTTTACAACATTCACGGCCGCAATTCAGCAGCGAGCTCTCACAACTAGTCTCCTGCAACTTGACGCAAGAGCTACCCTGCTCCACGCAGCACGGAACACACACTTCGCGATGCAGGCGCGGAGGAGCGGTTGTCCCCTTGGTATTCCTAGACTTGAAAGGGGAAGGCAGGAAGGAAAAGCTGAAGGAAAGGCAGAACACGTTTGCCATGCGAAGACCACGCTTGTGAGAATGTCCACTGGAAGCCACCGGACATTGAGCGTGAGAGAATAAATAGCTCATGCAGGATAAGAATAGACTTTTCCGAATGCTGCAACGAACACGCACAAGGCAATGTCCAGCTGTCAATAGCTTCTCCATGCTAAATGTGAGGCAATGTCACGGACTCTGCTGTCACTAAGGTGAGTTATGCTGTACCACTCCAACAATCACGCAGACCCTTCCAAAGTACAAACTATGGACGTGGAGCAATTTCGCACCACATCTTAGCACGAGGAACTGCAGCAACGGCCCAATGTGTTGTTTTTGTTGTTGTAACGTTTAAAAGCGATTCAAATATGAGCACATTATTTGACCAACCACGATTGATTTGTAAGATCAGTTGCAAAGGTCAGAGGTACACCATTTTCGATCCCAGCAACTCGTGATAACAGCCGAATGACAGGTCACACTCTGGGATGTGACAGCCAAAAGCTGTGCGAAGGCCAACCGCCTCTTACCACGACCACACGGCACCTTCAGGCCGGTCTCACCCATCACTCGCCTGCTGCTGGACGAGCGTTGAGAAGGAGGCCTCGCTCAACGGGGGCATAAAATGTACGCAAGTTGGATTTTTTTGTGAAATCGCAAACGACTGGGACCAAGACCGTCATTACACTCACGATTATTATTAACCGGTTCCGTCGCAGGTGCGTGGGGCCATGGGAATTAAAGATCTCGGTGCTACTGGCTCGGTTTTGGACGTTAATATTTACACATTGCGTCATCTGAAACGACTGAGTCACCCGTGGCAACTTAACTGAAATTAATATTTTAAGTCAGCAGTGAACATTCTGCAAGCGTGGTTGCCAAAACAAATAGCAGAGAGCGAGGGGGGGAATACCAGGACGCAAATGAGGGAGATCTGAGAGGGGCATGCTGGTGTGGTGTGTGCCTCTCGTCGATTTCGCTAAAAACTATTATTTGTGTTATCATCTGAGGCCCCACTAAGCTATACAGCTCTGGCTATCACAAATAATAGCTCAACGAAGTGGCTTATCATCATCGTGTGGAAATGTACAGCAGCGAAACACTCTATAAACGCGTGATGTTGAGTCTAAATGTGGAGGGGAAAACTCGGCAGACGCGGCCACAGGGAGAGACACATCCAAATATACAGCAGCTGCAGGCGTCAGGGTCGGGATTGAACCCGCGACCTCCTGCATATCAGGCGAGGTAGTTAACATCTCCAAGCCATCGCAGCTCCCCTAACACGTGTGCGCTTGAGCAATGTAGTAAGCCACTTCAAGATCATGCAAGCGACAGGCGGACCTCGGACAGAGAGCTCGTGTCAGGCAATAGGAGCCAACCTCCGCATAGTGAGCTGGGGCAAAGCAGTAAGCTGGTGTGAGCAACCACGTGCGCGGAGTGCGCGTAGTGAGCGGAGTGAGCTAACGATACTTTGACCGTGAGCGCAGAGTGCAAGTTCGTGCGGGCGTGAGCCGGGCGTGAGCCGGGCGTGAGCCGGGCGCAAACCCCCCCGGGCGCCACGCGGCAGAGGAGCTCCGCAATCCGCGAGGCGGCGGCTGCGTGGAGCGCGAGCAGGAGAGGAGGGTGGCGGCAAGGAGGGTGGCGGCTCAAGGAGGACACGAGGGTGGGGGCGCTTACGGGCAGCGTCGGGAGGCTTGACAGCTGTGGGGAAGGGGGAGACATGCCCGACTTAAAACACGGGAGACGCGCCGGGCTGGGTGGGGGGTGCAACGGGAACCCGTGGAGGCCGTCGGGGGGGGGGGGGGGCGATCGCTCCGTCGCGACCTCCCCCCCCACCCCACCGCCGTCAGCGCGCGGGGTTTGGATGAGGGCCGAATTGATGGAGGTCAATTTTTGAACTCCACACCAAAACGTCCCAGATGTAAGCGTTTGAAAGCCGCGGATGGTCGTCAAGCGTCACTGCTAACCCGTCATAAAACGTCTGCACATGTTGTTATGTCGTTGTTTTTTCCCCCTCCTTTTCCAGGAGGGCCTCGCTTGGGAAGTTTGGTACTCAATTGGCTGATTGTCCGGTTGCTCAAGGAAACTGGGATGCCCAAAGAAAAATCCACGTTTACGTGGAAAGAAAAATCGAAAAGTTCACACATATGAAACACAAACCTACTTTCTGCACTGCCACTTAGAGATATATTTTGTTTACCTGTAAGAATGTCTGCACAGCAGTCAGATTATACAAATACAACCCCATTCAACCATGACATACTTTTACACAAACCTGTATTCATACATAAGCAATACAGACGTTTCATAAGGAACGATGACGCACATATCAAACGTCACACTTGCCCAACCCGCAAGGCCACCATCACTTCAGCTCAATCCTCAATGGCAAGACGAAGAAAAACCCCCTGTACAGCCTTCACAGACTGTAGGGGCAAGTGCTGTTAGCGAGTAGCACTTATGAAGGCCGGAACAGCACACGAGGGGGTGGGTGGCCAGTACCACGCCCGGCCGCCTTTGTCTCCCGAGTGGCGATGTTTGCACACCGCGCCAGGTACTAATTTGAGGCTGAGTCGACCTAGGGGAGGCGCAGGACCGTTTCAGATAATCGTCACTGGTGTTGGCCATGAGCGCGAATCGAACTCGGGTCGCCGACGGGTTTATAGCGCGGCGCGCTAACTGCTACACTACTGCTCAACTACAAATATACACACACACGTAGACGCACGCACACACGCACGTGGACGCACGCACACGCCCACGTTTGTCACGTTAGATTGCTTATTCAGGTGCTGTTCGAGAGCACCTATCGAGAACCTGCATGACGCATAAGGCTGTGGGCCAGTGCCACGGATGCCCAGTCACCTTTGTCCCACGAGTGTTGATGTTTACACACCACCGCATCAAGCACTCACATTTGGCTGAGCATATCCGGGGGGGGGGGCGCGGGGAGAGGTGGGGTGCACCCCTACCCACACCCCCACACAACACGCCGTGGGGACGGGAAGAGAGGTGCAGAAGGCACGCATATCCAGTACAAGCAGATATCAACGTCACGTAGCCGTGGTTCCTAGAGACAATGCACATTAACTACTCTCGCACATGAATAAATGAACGCGTTGCAGCACACTGCGACCCATGAGACCCTCCTCACTCCACACTTCAAAGCGCACTTCTGTACAGCCCTGGGGGATGAGCACCACCCAACGGGCAGATGGAATGGATGGAGTCAAGCAATGGGACACACGTGGAATGGCTTCAATGAGATGGGGAATGATGACCGGTGCCCACACTTCGCGCGCCCGCCGGCTCCGCGGGTCGATATATTTTGTCGCGGCAAGTGAGCCCCCGAAAAAGGTTCCGGCGTCAAAAGACGTCGCGGCTTATCGCCACCGGGCGACGTGAAGCGAAATGACGGTGCCCCCCTTTTAAAATTAAGAGTCAACCACCAAAGGGGGCTCTGGGAGAGCAGCTGGGGTGGCATGCGCGAGTGGCCGGGCGGGCGGGCGGGAGCGTGGGTACGGCGTGGGGCGCTCGCGTGAGTGGGATCGTAGTACCTTGAAGGCCCTGACTAGCCAGCGCAGAATCCGGCCAGGCAGGGAAAGGATTGACTTTGGCAAGGCTATTAATGCGGAAAGAATCTTTCCCAGCGCTTGCTATAGGAGGGGGGGGGAGGGGTCGAGTAGGGGGAGGATGGGAAGCAAGGGTTAGTCAGCATTAGTAAGCCGGTTGCAGAAAGGTTCGCACGCACGTAGTGCAATCTTATAGCACAGAACATTGAGCATTTGCATTGAGAAAGCACAACGGCAATAGAAATCCATAGAAGTACGGCAGTGAAGGCTCTGCCCCACGGAGTGTTCGCCCTCCACTAACCTACCCCCCCCCCCCACACCGCTCCGCATCACTTACCGGAAAGACATCCCCAGCTGTGGCAGGAGTGAGCTACTGGGAACACAGCCGACCTCAACGGTTACCATCATTCACTCCCTCCCCCTCGCCTTGCTCGCCACGACTCCAGGGCCAGAGCAAAGAGCCTACACCAAAGCCCGATTTGACAAGCGCAGTCCGGGAGTGCCGCGGGGCTTGATTTAGCGTGAAGACTAAAAATCCTGTCCTGCTTACTGCCCAGTAAAACCCTCTCGAGTTAATCTCATGTGCAAGCTGCCTTCACTACTTTTGTGTTCAGTAGTAATACTTGAGAGTACGTAACTTTTAGTTTTATATATTTGTCGTTGGATATTTTTAAAATGTGGTTTTGAGGAATTTTTGCCATTCGCACAAAATTAGCCGCTGTTTCAAAAGAAAGAAAAAAACTCTTATCACGTAAATTTTTATTTAAAACTTTTGTGACTGCAAAGTCACGTAGATAGAAAATATTAAAATTAAAAAAAACAAAAATATTTTAAAAATGTATTAAAAAAATTATGTTTTTAAATTACTTTTGTATTTGTGTTATTTTTATTTTAGTATTTTCTATCTACGTGACTTTACCGAAAGAATCAAAGAATATCTTATCACGTAGTCCATGACAGGAGGCTGGCATCACCATCTCGAGCACCTCGCCTCCGAAGCAGCGATCGCGAGAGTTCGCGACCTGTGCCTCATCACGCCAAGTCGAAGCGTCTCGGTGCAACCGAAAGTTTCACTCCAAGTAAAGATAATCGCCGCCACATTTCACACGTGTGTGTGAAGTGTGAACGGTGAAGGGCTGGGACCCCCGTCAGTGGTGAGGCACTTCCACAGATTTCTATTGGAACGGTGGAGGGGAAGGGGATGGTGCAGCCAGTCACCCCGCTTAGTCAGCGAGAGGTGGGCATCACAACGGAGACAAATACAACAGAGGACACGTCATTGTATGCATACACACACGCGGCACGTGTCGGTGCAAGCGTACTCACCCATGCACCCCTCTGTGCATGTGCAAACAACGTGCGGTATGCACACGCACGCATGCACGCACGTGTGCAAAACACACGTGCGTGTGTGTGCGTGCACACATGCGACATGTCCGTATGCGCTGAGCCTTCCGTGTGAAGTATTTAGTGTCCCAAAAATGATGTCTCTACAAATCTGTCCCCTGGTCCGTCTCCCTGGGTGTTCTTTGTGCATTTATCCTTACCTCTCTCCATGTATATGTGTCTCCATGTCTGTTTCTGTGCCTCTCCCTTTGCGTGCATGTCGTGTTTCTGTGTCTACGTGTCGATGTCTTTACCCCGTACGTCTATATTTGCATCTTTGAGTGTACAATTCTCTGCATCTCGATGTCTAGTTTGCATTTCTCCGTCTATCTGTCCTGTCTCTCTGTGTGCCTATCTGTCTACAGGGCCATACTTGGCGTGCATGTACACACATACACATGTCCACATGCATGTTAAAATGTACAATGGACACATGTACACTCGTGAACATGCATTCATGTTCATTGAAAGGAGCAGAGGGATTGGTTGCGACTTAAAACTGCATAAGCATTGCTGGAGAGGGTCACCTTCAATCAACACAGCTGGAACCGAACCTAAGTACACTACGAAATTACGCCCACATAACAATCTATGGGCATGTATATAATACACAAGTCATTAACACAGATGGATGTGAGAGTTAATATTTTGGTCTCTGCAAAATAAAAAAAACTGTTAACCAACGTAACATCACTACGGAGGTTTGTGCCGCTGCTGCACGGCCCTCCCACGGAGCGTGTTCAGGTCGCGCCGCGCGTCGTTCGGCACGACGTCCGACGTTTTGCTCCACGTGCCGGGAGCTTCTTCAGGAACGGAATAGTTCGGCTGAATTGTTCCAATTGTTGTGTTACAACCCGAAAACACAACTGAGATCTGAGACGTCTGTTTTTTTTTTTAACTAATCTCTGCTTTACAGCAAATAACAATAACAACACGCTTTGGTGATGTAACCAAAAGTAACGTGATGTATGTATGTTGAACTTCTTTCACACCGTACGTAGCCAACCGTGCTAATCGCAGGTGCGGGGCAAGGACAACTCAACATAAAAAGCAAGTTTTAAATAAATTAGTTTTCAATCGAGATTATTTAAAAGTGTACAGCTCCAGTGGCTTCCTAATGAGCTAGTTGGTGATGTAACTAACCGAGCCGCTGTCTGGATCTGACCCGGACAGCGGCTCGGTGAACCCGGCGGCGTCGTTAGCTCATGGAGTCGTCTTTTTGAGCGGGGAGGGGGGGCGTGTGGAAAGTGAAAGAAGCCGATTTGTTCTCTTGAATTGCAAAAAAAAAAATATCTAAAAATCTGGCTGAGATTTTGATTTAAAACATTTTAGTTCAACGGACCGGTTCCGTTCTGTGGTGAAGCGGCCAGCTGGCAGGCATAGGCTTGCGTTGTTAGTGGGTTAGTGGGTTAGCGTAGCGGTGAAGAAACGTGCACAAACGCCGCACTCATAACCTCAGTACTCATTTTAGACTGAGTCAACCTACGGGAGGGCCCTCGCCAGGTCTAGCTGGCAATTAAATGTTGCGTGCCATGGCCAGCAATCAAACCCTCGATCATTGCTAGAATTTTAAGGCAGTGGCACGGACAACACCACCGTCACACCCAATTCTCTTTGTCTAACTCGTGCACACACAATGCAGGCACTCAGACACACGTACACAACAATACACATTCACGATGTTTAACAGTCACACACACGCGAGCACGCGGAAAAAAGCCCGTGCATACGAGCACACACGCGCACGTGTACGCACTAGCGCACGCGCGCACGTGTACGCACTAGCGCACGCGTGCACGTGTACGCACTAGCGCACGCGCGCACGTGTACGCGATGCTCACATGCGCCGCATTAAGGTGATCTCTGGGGGTTTGACGGCGCTCGGCAGAGACAGGGCCCTGCATTGTGCGAGCGTCAGGACGCGTGCGCGACCCACCCCCAGCCACACAGCTGCCACTTGGCACTCGCACAAATACTGTGTCTACCTCCAGAGCGGGAGGGGGGCCGGGATGAGCGGGGCCCTGGGGCTTGCCAAGGTCAGGCGGCGAAGGCCGATGACTTGCACGAGCCCGCGGAGGGCGGGCTACAGGGGGTACTGTGTCGGGATTCATCTCCCTGGCGTCTTAAAACACCGTCTACGTTTTCAGCTCCACTCGGCGTTTGGGCGTTTTGAATTGACAGCTTCAGTCTCAATTAGGTTTATATATTTTTGTACTCAACTATTGTCAATTTCGGTTACAGATCCAGAACATGCGAGTTTGATTTGTGTCCCTTGGGTGTTAATTATCAGTCACGTCACGACATGCGCCACGTGAGAAGTCTTGAAAGGGAACAGGTCAAGAACGAGACAAGTCAGAACCGCTCCAAACGTCTCGATGGGTGTCTGGACTTGGACGGTAGGGATGGCTACAGTCTCTGGCTTTGGCTCGGTTTGGTCAAATCGTACGAATGGCTATGGCCAAATTGAGCTCCGGTTGCTTTGCAGACTCATGATTGGACTCAGCTGAGACTCAAAACGTGCTTCAATTGAGAACCCTTGTGTGTAGCCCAGTGACTGGGCCCGAACCCAGCTTCTCAGGGACGTTGGGTCAGTGCCCCGGTACGAACCACAGCGCTATGACAAACACCCAACCGTCCCGTGCCAAACCACTTTTCACCTTCCTGAGTTATCAATTGCACAGCGATTAATCTCCCAAATGGCATTTTGGTGATTAATTACACCGTACGTGTGTAACAGCACGTGTGAGCACGTGTGTGTGTATCGACGAGTGGCAGCCAAAACAAAGTAAAGAGATCGTCAAAGTCACGCCTGACTCACGTCTGTGGGGTTTTTGTATTTTTATCTCCAATTCTATCAATAGCACGGAACATTGAAAAATGTGTCAAATGTACAGCTGCAAGCTTTTGTTTTTTTGTGTTTGCTCTTACAAGCAATATCTATATTTATTGTGGTGATAACGTATTCTTTTATTACCCGGTCATTTTTACAATTGCACTGTTTATCTGCACTAACATGCTTTACACCATACTTTATTTATTAACTCTTACACCTGGTTGTAAATAACGTTGACGTGTGTGCGTATTTTTATACACGAAGCTTCTGTACAGGCTTATGCAGCACAGCAATCCCCCGGCTTCCGTCGGGGGCATGGTTTCCTGAAAGGTGCGACGACGAATATCGAAACGACGTCAATCAAAGCGATTCATTTACTGGGCAGTCGGTGGTGAAGGTGAAGGCTGAGAGGCGACAGATATCGAGATAGGACGGAGGATGCCGTCAGCGACGCGAGTGTGGGTCGAGGCAAAGCAAATCGGGCAGCGGTGGTATTAATAATAAAGTGACGACGTATTTTATGAACGACGTAAAAAGGGGGAGACGTAAATCGGGGCGTGACTGCATTCAGGCTGAGGGCAAGTGCCGTGAGAACGCTCAACTCACAATGGGGACAGATTGTGGTCAAATGTCAATTCACGCCTCTCGTCCCTTCTGGGTTTGTGATGTCACCTCCTTTTTTGTGGCAAGTCAACTGTTGGTCTTCCGACGGAGAGAATGACACTTGCCGTGCAAATGTGGAATTTCCATCCTTGTCTCTGTGGTCTCAGCTGTGGCTATCTATGCGCCGTCTCACCAGACGAAAGTACGGTGCACATCTCCAGAATTACGTCAGCCACCAAAGTCCTCCGTGACACGACACTTCTCCTGCCCGTCACTTTAGCGGACACCTCCACTGCTCCGAGTGTCGACGCTGCAGAGGGGCCGACTTTCTTTCTGCTATGGGCGAGGTGTGTTTACTTTGCAATGGGCTAAACTAATGCCAAAAAGGTATACTGTGAGAAAGAATCATTTCAAAAAAGATTTGTAAAAATTATTCAACCGCCACTCATCAAGGTATTTGGCCGTGCTGCACTGTACCGTGTATGCATTGAAACTAATCACACTCGCTTACGCACGATACATACACTGTGCCGTACATTAAAATACTTTGGATACAATACGCATTCACCTGCAAATATAGAAACATTTCACGTGCGTGGTTAAGAAGTCATACAGAGGATAAGCCACTTGTACATTTCCATTAGCGGAACAAACAACGGACATTTGGAAGACGCCCATCACGTTGTGCGGACACGCGTTCATTAGAAACACACCTTGAGCTGAACGCGCCAACTGCAACACAGCACAGCACTGGCATGGCCGAACGCATCATCATCATCATCGACGACGCCGCCACCGCCGCCGCCATACACGGCGACAACATTCAGGCAAGCCTCCACGGAGAAAACACCTCGATGTGTCAAAAACAAAAAAAAACCTTGTGCAGCTGTAATTACATTCGTAGCATATCTTGGAAGTATGGGATTCTTCCCACAATTCTTGTGATGAGGAAGAGCACTGGCTGTGGTCATTGCTATCATCTTAACCGTTACTATGAACCTCCTAAATATACTCAATGGCCCTTTGGTGAGTGTGATAAGTGCCAAGTTTCGTGTGAGGGTGGAATCTATTTACAAACTGGAAGGGTCTGGGAGGCCCCAAGGACTTGGAACTCGAGAGAAGAACCTGGAATTAAATTTGGCCAGACCTCAGAAACTAAATGAAGACCCAATTAAGATTGGGAGTAGCTCATAATTTGAGTTAAGATTTTTTTCACGAAACTCTAGCTATGCTAGGAGTACCCCAGGACCTTACAAGAAGGCCTCAGGCCGTATTCCGAGTTGCGACTCGGCTTTGGTTCGGTCTCGAACACTCAGGCTCAGTTCAGGCTTGGACCACTCCGTCGCTTTCAAAAATGCACGAGGTGGCCTGGCTCGGGCTCAGCTCGTGGCAATCCTGGGAATTGCAGGGACAATGCCCACAGCCAGCAAAACTTAAGCGTGGCTTCGAGCCGGCCTACTTGAGCCAAGCCTCAGCCGAGCGGAGAGCAAGTGAAAAAGGGAGGAGCTCAGACCCGGAGGAGGTGCGGAGCGGTTGAGGAGGGCCCGAGATGGGGCTGCGGGACGGTGGAAGGCCGCGGTGGCAGTACCTGGAAGGCGCTCTTCTTCTGTGTGGCGGCGCCGTCTCGCTCCTCGTCCTCCTCCTCCTCTTCACTGTCCGTCTCGAAGAGGTAATAATCGCCAGAGCGGACCACTTGACAGTAACGGGATCACGCGCGCTCGTTAAAACCGGACTCGCCCATCGCACGCACTTACCGCGGTCCCTTTCACGCCCGCTCCAGCCGCATTCACCGCAACGTGCGCGCCCACTGCAGCCACCCTCGAGTGCCCCCCTCCGCCACACAACACGTTCAAGCCCACTCGATCGCTCGTCACGGCCACAGAGACGACAACGGCGGGATGACGCGCGCTCCTCACGAATGCTCACAGTGTAAGCTGCACTTACACTGATGTCAACCCGGCGTGTGGCACGGTTACTACGGGCGGAGGTCATGACGGTGGTTATGATGAGAGCACAAGGCTGAGTGATGAAGACATGAGGTTCTCTTGCAACCTCGTAAGACACAAACCAAAGAACAGACAGCCCTTATATTATCTATGGTTCCTTTTTGCCAGTATCCATGATGATGCAAAATAAGAATAAGTTTGACCTTTTCTGACAATAAAACGGGTGTTAAGGTGTTCAAACACTAAATAGATACCTTTTTGCAAGGAATAAAAGTCTGATTTAACTGCTCGACCCAAGCTATAAGTGCTTTGATACTCGCATTGCCTTCCTACTGTTCGCATGTTGGCATTGTTCTCTGATCTCACGCTGTTAGATGCGACAAGGCCATAAAGAAAGCTGTCTCTGGTGTAGGCCAATCAGTTTTAAAGACAATGCATATATTATATTCAGAGCATGTGTTTTACACATTTTACCACAACCACGTGGTTAATGCAGAATCGATACCTTGTAATGGGTGTCGATTTGGTGTTTCAACATCTCAACACCTCCCGTATTCTTGCCGGAAGAGAAAACCTATTTTATTTGTGTTTACCACATTTCATCAGGCTGATCAGCAAGGGTTGGTGAAGAGCCCAAGACCGTTTCACATATCACTCACCACTGACATTAGCCACAGGCAGGGACACATCTCAGGTCACCGTGGTTAGAGCAATCGGTGTTAGTGGTGGAGCTGTTGTTAGTGCTGCTGTGGCGTTGCGGTTACTGGGGGACGTACTGGAGGCATGGTCGACCCATGGACGCCACCACTTCTTCCTCCTCTTCTTGCCACCAGGTTCCATCTCCCCACTCTCCTTCCCGGCACCCTCCGGGGCTGGTCCCCCCCACAGGAGTGCGAGTTAGTCGGAGGGATGGCACTCGCGTGCATCGCGTTCACAAAATAGAAATATGCGGCAGCCCTAACCATCTGTGGACTATAACGTTACCCGACCTGTACTCTAAAAACATGTTTTTTAAAAGTATACACTAAATTAGGCTAATATTACGAATTGTTTTTGGTATTTACAAAAAAATACCACACTCAGTATTCCCAGTCGAATTTGTTTTATGTAAATATGGATTACAAATGAGTTGACTTTAGCATAGGTTATATCAATTGTATCCTAGAAATATCTTGCTGATATTTTTATTATTATAGCATGTCCAAATGTGGTCTCACAGTTGTCCTCAAGTTTGTGGATGAAGAAATTACCAAACTGTGGATTGAAATCTGCTGATCACATGTGCTGTGGATAACCTAAACTGTGCCAAATAAACACGTGTCGATGGGGAGGCAAACTTTGTCGTGTCCGATATTCTAGATAAACTCCTATCATCATCGCGCAATACACTAAGTAAAACCCTGCCGTTATGTACTAGAGTACCGCGACTGTACAACGTGCTGCCACAGATTTCTATTCGGGGGGGGGGGCATGCCTGTAAATAACCACACTGCAGAAAACAGAAGCAGCAACCGCACTTCAATTATATACAGCAGTCTACGTGACATCACCACACGTGGCGTGTACACCGCGTATATACCGGATTGTAAAATGTATTGCGGTAATTATTGACGAAGCGCGTCACATTTTCTACAAGTACGCCGCCAAAAGCGACCGTTTGGCTAAACTAGCGTTTACTTAAACTACCAGAAGCAAGAGAACTCGTGGTGGGAGGCTGGGGCCTGTGGGATTTCAGAGGCGACAGTCGCCAATCGGGGCCCCTGCCACCAGCGGCACCCACGAGACACTTTGGTTTCTCTCCGAGGTGCCGTGGGAATGCCGAGCCGGCCGGTTAACTCTCACGCACGGCAGGGTGCCCGGCGTGCCTCGCTTGTGCGTAACTTGTTACAACGTGAACAACGTCGCACATGTGGGGCACTAGTCGCCTGTGGGGCACTAGTCGTATGTAGGGCCGGATTAAGATTTTGTAGGCCCCGGGGCTACAGGTACTGTGAGGCCCCCAGTAATATTTTCAAAAGGAAAACAAAGTTAAAGAGAAATAAAATTTATTTTTACAAGGCTAACAACAAATAGAATTCAGCATTCACAAATAAAATGACTTTTGACTTCATCTCTGGAGGCCCTCCAGCTGGCGGAGGCCCCTGGGCCGCAACCCCTAAAAGCCTCGTGCCTTAATGCGGCCCTGGTCGCATGTGGCACACTATCACATGTGGGGCACTATCACATGTGGGGCACTGATCGCATGTGGCACGCTATCGCATGTGGCACGCTATCGCATGTGGCACGCTATCGCATGTGGCACGCTATCACATGTGGCACGCCATCACATGTGGCACGCTATCGCAATACATTTTAGAACTGAGACTGCAACAGTGTACCCGCTTGTTTTCTTACGTAGGTGGATTGAAAAAAAACTGCGCACACGAAATATACAGAACACTGTATACTATAGTGAACATACTCTACGTATACAGAACACTGTATACTATAGTGAACATACTCTACGTATACAGAACACTGTATACTATAGTGAACATACTCTACGTATATCGTCGTGTTTTGTATAGGTTATAGGTCACGCCTTGCAGTGTTAGTGTTGTTACTGGGGGGAAAAACACGCGGCGTGTTACACAAACAACGGGTTCACGATCCCCAGTCAGGCAGGGTTTCTCAAACTCCACTTCTTACGGCAAACAGGTTTTGTATTTTGATTTAATTCATTGATCAATCAATCCCAGATTTAAAGCATGCCAAATTCAGCATTTAAGTTGAGGTGGAAGTGCGTCTCAGCTTCATAACGGCGCTGCGTACTGGGGCTTCACGTGGATGGAGGAGGAAGACCACTCAATGGGGAAGGTGAACCAGGAGTGGGGGAGGCCAGTTTGAGAAACAGTCCTGAGGCCTAAGACATTATTTTCACCCCAGGCCACACAGTGTCCATTCTGCAGGCTCCATGTCACTGTGGACAGTGCAGCAGCAGCAGGCACTGTGCTTTTACTACGACGATGATGACGACAAATACAATGACTCACTGGGTCGCTCGCAGCAGCCACGGTAAGTGCTGCTGCTCACAGGGAACGCACAGGCTGACTTGCTCGTATCAGCCAACCAAGACAAACAGAAAATATACAGCGTGAATGAAAAAAAAAATTGTAACAAATAAATTATATATTTAGAAAAATAACGTGGCAAATAAAAAATAATACATTAACATCCTTCGTTTTAAATATTGGCTGCCAGGAGCTGAGCCTGATCCGAGCCATGGCTGAGCGTCACACACCTCATTGAAGCGAGCGAGTGCCTCAAGGCCGAGCTGAATCTCTCACTATTAGAGGGTTGCGCTTGAGCCGAGTCGCAACTGAGAATGCGGCTCCCGAGTTTAAACGAGCTCAGACCCAGGAGGTGGTCTTGTACGTCTCAGGGATCGGGACGACGCACCGCACCATTGTGCCTGGGTTCGATTCCAGGCGGTCGTCCGTGGACTGAACCTGCTGCTCAACTACGGCGGAGTTGATGGTCTCAGCCTGGTAACCGATGACCGCACCATGAAGAAAACATAAAAAAATGTAATTCGGTGTTTTACTTAATTTGGTAAAAACTTCATATCTGAGAATTTTAAATGTATGTTCGACTGTCATCTCATAACAGAGTGGATGGTCAGATAAAGGTTACTGATTTTAGTATTACTGCAATGAAATCACCCCCTCGCCTGTACGTGTTAGTGGTCTATACCGACCATAATCAAGTGGGTTGAGGCACATGGCTGAAGATGGATGAGCTCACAGTGCAATGTTCCACTGGTTGGGTGCGGAAGGCAACCACAAGGAATGAGAAGCTCAACCACAGCCCACCACAACCACCGTTAATGCACCACTCGCGACTGAGCGGAGAGATGGCTCAGAACGTAAATATTGAGCGGGTAATATCAATAAGGAGATGTACCAGAGTGAAATGAATGGCATTAACGCAACAAATACACAGCAAAAAAAAATAAAACGCAGATTCACGCAAATATTTGTGTGTGTGTTTTTGTTGATACATATCGACTTACTGATGTTCCTTATAACCAAGTCACAGCCAATTAAGGTTCATTATCCCACTTGCAGAGAAGACTCGGGTAATAATAGTTATATGTAATCAGTTATTAATTATTACAATTCACTTAAAAGTCGTTCATGTTAACGAAAAACCAAGTAGCACCTTTGTAATGCACTGTGAATATGACTCTCCATTGATGTCGGTTTAATTAAATACAAAGTAGTCTGTGTCTCGATAGAGAGATTGGAAAGGAAATGGACAGAAAGACACGGAGACAGAGAGCCACGGAGACAGAGAGCCACAGAGACAGGGAGACACAGAGACAGAGAGCCACAGAGACAGAGAGCCACAGAGACAGGGAGACACAGAGACAGAGAGCCACAGAGACAGAGAGCCACAGAGACAGGGAGACAGAGAGACACGGAGACAGAGACACGGAGACAGAGAGACACGGAGACAGAGAGCCACAGAGACAGAGAGACACAGAGACAGAGAGACACAGAGACAGGGAGACAGGAGACAGAGACACAGAGACAGAGAGACACGGAGACAGAGAAACACGGAGACAGGAGACAGGGAGACACAGAGACAGAGAGCCACAGAGACAGAGAGCCACAGAGACAGAGAGCCACAGAGACAGAGAGACACGGAGACAGGGAGACACAGAGATAGAGAGACACGGAGACAGAGAGACACGGAGACAGAGAGCCACAGAGACAGAGACAGAGAGACACAGAGACAGAGAGACACAGAGACAGAGAGACACAGAGACAGGGAGATACGGAGACAGGGAGACACGGAGACAGGGAGACACGGAGACAGGGAGACACGGAGACACAGAGACAGAGAGACACGGAGACAGGGAGACACGGAGACAGGGAGACACGGAGACAGGGAGACAGAGAGACACGGAGACAGAGACACAGAGACAGAGAGACACGGAGACAGAGAGACACAGAGACAGAGAGACATGGAAACAGAGAGACAGGGAGATACGGAGACAGAGAGACACGGAGGCAGAAAAACAGAGACAGAGAGACGAAGACAGGGAGACAGAGAGACACGAAAACAGAGAGACACGGAGAAAGAGAGCCACAGAGGCAGGGAGACACGGAGACAGAGAGACACAGAGACAGGGAGACAGAGAGACACAGAGACAGAGAGACACGGAGGCTGAGAGACACGGTGGCAGAGAGACACGGAGACAGACAGACACAGAGACAGAGAGACACGGAGACAGGGAGACACGGAGACACAGAGACAGAGAGACATGGAAACAGAGAGACACAGAGACAGGGAAACACGGAGATAGAGAGACATGGAAACAGAGAGCCACGGAGACAGAGAGACACGGAGACAGAGAGACACAGAGACAGGGAGACACAGAGACAGAGAGACAGAAAGACGTGGAAACAGAGACACAGAGACAGAGAGACACGGAGACAGAGAGACACAGAGAGAGAGACACGGAGATAGGGAGACACGGAGACAGGGAGACACGGAGACGGAGACACAGAGACACAGAGACAGAGAGACACGGAGACAGACACAGAGACAGGGAGACACGGAGACAGAGAGACAGGGAGACACGGAGACAGGGAGACACGGAGACAGGGAGACACAGACACGGAGACAGAGACACACAGACAGAGAGACACGGAGACAGAGAGACAGGGAGACACGGAGACAGAGAGACACGGCGGCAGAAAAACACAGATACAGAGAGACGAAGACAGGGAGACAGAGAGACACGGAGACAGAGAGACACGGAGACAGGGAGACACAGAGACAGAGAGACATGGAAACAGAGAGACAGGGAGACACGGAGGCAGGGAGACAACATATGACACAGAGCCACTGCTGAGGGCTCGTGATTTCTTGAGTGCACGACAACAACTCGTGGCGCTGTCCAAACTCTCCCGGCTATCCCGACGCCACTGCAGGGTATTCCAGGGCCTTCCAGTACTCTTCGTTTGCATTCTCTACTCCCCAGATATCAGGCGAGTGTGCAGCGTTGGCACTCGGTAACCAGGCAGTCACCGCTTTGCTGCGCCGGGCATCCTGCTGAATTCATATCCGTGCATTCAGCTCTCCTTATGGGAACATAAAACACTCCTCCCTCCTCCTCCGTCTCTCCTCGCACGGCGTGTGCGTCGAGAATTCCCTTTCCTCGTCCATTGTATTCAACCCATGGAGTGCGACTCGACTCAAAATACGTCATAAATGTCACCTGCTCTCCTTGGCCCAGGGATTTCTGTCGTGGGCAGCTTTGTGTTCAAGGCCTGTGGGCCTCTGTTACAGCCGCTGTGGCAACAAGGGCCATACAGTACTAACAATACACTCCCTTTATGTATTGTCTACAAATATAGTTTCAAAGTACATAAAACAATGCGTTAAAAACAACGCTTGTACTTCATTTCACCCAAAATGTCATGATTTATGCCTGGAAAAGGCAGCTTTTTATTGGAAAATCACGGTGCCTCATCGGATACGGAAGAGGGAAGGGGGGCTAATGGTGCTTTGCCGCTGCCAAAGACTTCATAAAACCTGTGGGTTGAGGGTTGGGTTCACATCCGGGACCGGGAACCGGTGGGGGTCAAAACTGAAGGGGGGCAGCCGAGAGGTCATTAGAGAAAAGGGTGCACCTTGGAAGTGTGTGAGCTCCTTTTCACCCTCCACCGGTGCCGACTCCTTTCCCTTCTTGAACTTCTGCTGCCGCGCAATGATCCGCTCCATCCTGGCCAAGCGGCATCACCCCAACAACAACGGCAGCAGCAGACAACAACAAACGTTTAAAATGCCACACAACGTGAAAAATAAACTTTCAGAGAGCAGAGTTACAAAGGAGGAAAACGACGGTAAGGAATGCGATGGACTGAGTAAAGGAGGGAGAGAAAATGAGCACGTAATGGGGGTCCAGAACATTCTGAATAATAAAGTTAAAAACGGTGTTTGTTGTAACAGCTAAAGCCCACTGAGCTATATTGATCTTTTTCAGAAGCAACCTGGCCACAACCCAGAGCTCAAAGGAGTGGCTTATCACGTGGCATTTTATAGCAGCCAAATACGCTAAACGTGTGGTGACATTGATTCTAAATGTGGAGGGAAAAACCCGAGGACCCGGAGAAAAATCCACGAGACCACGGGGAGAGAGACACCGCAAACCCCAAATATACAGCAGCAGCAGGCGTCAGGGTCGGGTTCAAACCCACGACCTCCTGCACACCAGGCGAGGTAGTTAACATCTCCTAGCCACCACGGCACCCCTAATGCCACGAGGAAGCGCCGCTTCTCAAGCACGTCATCGGTCAGCTGCACGAAGCTCACAGGCGATGAAAAGGTTCTGAGTTCAGATCCCGGCGAGGTGATGACTCGTGCGAGCAGGAAGACGCTTGTTTAAACCGGTTTCACTCGGACAGATAGTGACGCGGTGGTAAACCGGAACTTTACGTGCGCTGCTCATGCCACCCGCTGTGGCCTCTCCTCCCCCTCTTCTTGTTCATATTCATGGCTTTCACTTCGGTCTCTCTTCTCCAATGCAAATCCCATACCGGCGACTATAAAACTTATACATCGTTGAGCTCTAAGAACGAGTGACATTGACGGGACAGAAGCACGGCGGTGCCGCGCGCGACGCACTGTCGCTTCAGCTGGTCCATGGACTTCTTCTCCTCCTCCATGCGCGCCTTCACGGACTTCACCATCTCCGCGTGGATCAGCTCGGCACCGCTGGTGCACACGCACAAACACACAAGGACAAAGATCCCCCGTATACCATTAACAGACTGTGAGGAAAGTGCTGTTAGCGAGCAGTGCCTATTAAGGCCGGCACGGCACACGAGGGGGTAGGTGACCAGCACTACGCCCGGCCGCCTTTGACTCCCCAACGATGATGTTTACACACCGCACTAGGTACTCATTTGAGGCTGAGTCAACCAAGGGGAGGCCCCGTGCCAGTTCAGATAATCGTCACTGGAGTTGGCCGTGAGCGGTATTCGAACCCGGGTCGCCAGGTTCGTAGTGCAGCGCTAACTGCTACACTGCCGCTCCCCACACGCACACACCACGGACAGACACAGTTCCCCCAAAGCGATGTTAAACATCCCCCTGACTTCATGTAAAACACGTAGATTGTTGTCAGCCGGCGTTATTGTTCACATTTGGCAATTGACTCAATAGGTATTACACACAGCAGCAATCATCGCCCCTGCTGGCAGACTAGCGCCCGTTTGGAGGCCAGGTGCTGGAGGTCACCTTGTGACCACAGTGAGCGGGAATTGAACTTGGGTCACCGGGTTCGTAGCAACGCCCTCAAGGCGTACAGCTCAAAGACAATGCACTCATTACTTTGATAGTGCATTGTCTTTGAGCTGTGTGACGCGTTTTGGCGTCATCTGGTCGAGCACCAATTGGGTCGAGGCTCAAAAGAAAGCCGTCCCTTGGTGTGGACCAATCAGTTTCAAGGACAATGCCACATATATTATTATAGTATGTTTTTTTTTGCATTTTGACTGCAGGTATTGTGGTTAATGCAGACACGAATCCTTGTAAAAAGGTTTCAGTTTTGTTGCCAGAAAAAAAGGGTAAAAACCCTATTATTATGAAATAAAAATAGTTTAGTTCTACAAGTTGAACGGCCGGAGAAGCCTCACTGAATGTCCAGCAGGAGAGCCGCTTTAGCGGCGAGGTTGGAGGGCACATGGGCGCCAGCGAGGGACCGTGCGTACGTACGTCTGTGCGTCTCACATTGCGGTTCGTTCGGGCCAGTCCGGTGCGGTGGGGACCAATGTGTGGGTGCTCCCACCTCATCCGATCGTGGAAGGGTAGGCCAAACACCCTCGAGAGGGGCTCTCTCGACCTCCCTCTGTCCAGCGGAGAGCCCTTCCAACCAGCAGCGGCGGGCGCGAGCAAACCGCGGGGGCCCTTAGGTTTGGGCGGGGAAGCGGTGGGGGCGCAGCTTACCGCGAGGCGAGCAGCGTGGAGGCCTGCAGGTCGGCCACCACGTGCAGGTAGTAGTAGCTGAGGAAGACCCTGCGCTGCAGCAGCAGGAAGAAAAAGCAGATGGCGTCCCAGATGATGCCGGCCTCGGCGCGGGGCAGCTCGCACAGCTTGGGGTCCGGGAAGTCTGGGGACACGGCGTCACGGCCAAGCACGGTGGCGAGATGTTAACGACCTCTCCTGGTGTGCAGGAGCTCGTGGGTTCGATCCCGACCCTGGCTCCTGCTGTATATTTGGAGTTTGCGTGTTCTTCCCGCAGTCGTGGGGATTTCCCCCCCGGATTTAGAGTATTTGGCTGTAATACATTTCCACCTGACAAGCCACTTCGTTGAGCTATCGTCTGTGGCCAGGTCGTTTCTGAAAAAGAGCTACGTAGCTCAGTGGGCCTTACCTGGTAAAATAATAAATAAATAAAATCGTATGGTGTGGGTGGTGCGTGTGTGTGCGGTGTGTGAGGTGTGGGCGGTGTGTGTGCGTGCGGTGTGGGCGGTGCGTGTGCGTGCGGTGTGTATGTGCGCACCCTGGTTGTAGCCCTTGATGGTGCACACCAGGCTGAAGGCCTGCACGAGCCAGCAGCAGTTCTCCCCGAGCGAGCGCAGGTAGGCGCAAGCGGCAATCTGCAGGGCACAGCACGGGGGCGGCGGTCGTCAACCCCCTAACCGGGCCTCACCGCTCCTGCTCCAGACCACGTCTTCCATACAATAGCATCTCGACATCAGTTATAAAGAGACCCACAAATGGCACTGCCATTTATTTAAAGACACCGGAGGAGGCCTCGAGCAAATGGCAGTAATTCCACATTATCAAGGCCAGGATTTTGCTCTGAAAACCACCGTTTAATTTCTCAGGAAGTGCCGCTTATTTAATCGATGCCAGGATCCTGGTTCCTGAGTTTACGGAGGAAACGTGTTATACTCTCTGGTTCTTTCGGTAAAGTCACGTAGATAGAAAAAATAATAAAAGAACACGACGTTTCGGTCGCAACACAAGCATCCGTCATCAGGTGAGAAAGAATGATCTGCTGTTGTGGCTTTATATAGGCACGGGGGGGGGGGGGGGGTTTGTAGAGTCGTGGCTGCAGGAGTTCACAGGGGGAGAGGGGGCAGGGTTTGAGGGAGAACCACAGTAGTAAAAACGTTTTAACTGCTATGATTCTCACTCATACACCCGTGCTGTTTTCGTTTACTAATTCAAGCTCATTGACATGCTAACTTCTCCAGCCCCCACCCGTCCCTGCACGCCACAAACCCTGCCCCCTCTCCCCCCGTGAACTCCTGCAGCCACGACTCTACAAACCCCTCCCCCGTGCCTATATAAAGCCACAACAGCAGATCATTCTTTCTCACCTGATGACGGACGCTTGTGTTGCGACCGAAACGTGGTGTTCTTTTATTATTTTCTCTTCTATCTACGTGACTTTACCGAAAGAACCAGAGAGTATGGATTCCTGCAGTCACGAAAGCTTCAAAATAAAGATTGAAACGTGTTAACTTAAATCCTTAACGATAGAAGATCCAACACCAATTCGTGGGGTACGCTTAGGGCAGATTTTGGAGGGTCAGGTGTCAACCGTGCACTGTGGGAACTGACAAAGGGTAGCGTCAACGAAATTGGCTGTGACGAACTCTTGACCTCACCATTTTTTTTATTAAAGAAATTGTTATTGACTAAGAGTACAAACAATGGCGGAGCCAGGATTTTTAGGTGGGGGGGGGGGGGGCAACCCCTCCAGCAATGAAACATTATAGGAGTTGTTAGTAAGTAAGGAGTTGTTAGTAAGGAGTTGTCAGTAAGTAAGGAGTTGTTAGTAAGTAAGGAGTTGTTAGTAAGGAGTTGTCAGTAAGGAAGGAGTTGTCAGTAAGTAAGGAGTTGTTAGTTAGTAAGGAGTTGTTAGTTAGTAAGGGGTTGCCAGTAAGTAAGGAGTTGTCAGTTAGTAAGGAGTTGTAAGTAAGTAAAGAGTTCTTAGTTAGTAAGGAGTTGTCAGTAAGTAAGGAGTTGTCAGTTAGTAAGGGGTTGTAAGTAAGTAAGGAGTTGTTAGTAAGGAGTTGTTAGTAAGGAGTTGTTAGTAAGTAAAGAGTTGTCAGTAAGTAAGGAGTTGTTAGTAAGTAAGGAGTTGTTAGTAAGTAAGGAGTTGGCAGTAAGTAAGGAGTTGTTAGTAAGTAAGGAGTTGTCAGTAAGTAAGGAGTTGTTAGTAAGGAGTTGTCAGTAAGTAAGGAGTTGTTAGTAAGGAGTTGTTAGTAAGGAGTTGTTAGTAAGGAGTTGTTAGTAAGTAAGGAGTTGTCAGTAAGTAAGGAGTTGTCAGTAAGTAAGGAGTTGTCAGTAAGTAAGGAATTGTTAGTAAGTAAGGAGTTGTTAGTAAGTAAGGAGTTGTTAGTAAGGAGTTGCCAGTAAGTAAGGAGTTGTTAGTAAGTAAGGAGTTGTTAGTAAGTAAGGAGTTGTCAGTAAGTAAGGACTTGTTAGTAAGTGAGGAGTTGTTAGTAAGGAGTTGTTGGTAAGAGTTGTTAGTGAGTAAGGAGTTGTTAGTGAGTAAGGACTTGTTAGTGAGTAAGGAGTTGTCAGTAAGTAAGGAGTTGTTAGTAAGTAAGGAGTTATCAGTAAGTAAGGACTTGTTAGTAAGTGAGGAGTTGTTAGTAAGGAGTTGTTGGTAAGAGTTGTTAGTGAGTAAGGAGTTGTTAGTGAGTAAGGACTTGTTAGTAAGTAGTTGTTAGTGAGTAAGGAGTTGTTGGTAAGGAGTTGTTAGTGAGTAAGGACTTGTTAGTTAGTAAGGAGTTGTCAGTAAGTAAGGAGTTGTCAGTAAGTAAGAAGTTGTTAGTAAGTAAGAAGTTGTTAGTAAGCAAAGAGTTGTAAGTAAGGAGTTGTCAGTAAGGAGTTGTTAGTAAGGAGTTGTTAGTAAGTAAGGAGTTGTCAGTAAGGCGTTGTCAGTAAGTAAGGAGTTGTTAGTAAGTAAGGACTTGTTAGTAAGTAAGGAGTTGTCAATAAGTGAGGACTTGTTAGTAAGTGAGGAGTTGTTGGTAAGAGTTGTTAGTGAGTAAGGAGTTGTTAGTGAGTAAGGACTTGTTAGTGAGTAAGGAGTTGTCAGTAAGTAAGGAGTTGTCAGTAAGTAAGGACTTGTTAGTAAGTGAAGAGTTGTTAGTAAGGAGTTGTTGGTAAGAGTTGTTAGTGAGTAAGGAGTTGTTAGTGAGTAAGGAATTGTTAGTAAGTAGTTGTTAGTGAGTAAGGAGTTGTTGGTAAGGAGTTGTTAGTGAGTAAGGACTTGTTAGTTAGTAAGGAGTTGTCAGTAAGTAAGGAGTTGTCAGTAAGTAAGAAGTTGTTAGTAAGTAAGAAGTTGTTAGTAAGCAAAGAGTTGTAAGTAAGGAGTTGTTAGTAAGGAGTTGTTAGTAAGTAAGGAGTTGTCAGCAAGGAGTTGTTAGTAAGTAAGGAGTTGTTAGCAAGTAAGGAGTTGTTAGCAAGTAAGGAGTTGTTAGTAAGGAGTTGTTAGTAAGGAGTTGTCAGTAAGGGGTTGTTAGTAAGGAGTTGTTAGTAAGGAGTTGTCAGTTAGTAAGGAGTTGTCAGTAAGGAGTTGTTAGTAAGGAGTTGTTAGTAAGTAAGGAGTTGTCAGCAAGGAGTTGTTAGTAAGTAAGGAGTTGTTAGCAAGTAAGGAGTTGTTAGCAAGTAAGGAGTTGTTAGTAAGGAGTTGTTAGTAAGGAGTTGTCAGTAAGGGGTTGTTAGTAAGGAGTTGTTAGTAAGGAGTTGTCAGTTAGTAAGGAGTTGTCAGTAAGGAGTTGTTAGTAAGGAGTTGTTAGTAAGTAAGGAGTTGTCCCTTTGCTTTTTATTCGACGCGTGTGCGGCTATGGCGCAGCCATCTATCGAGGGTCGAATTCGAACCGCGTTGTTAGTGATCGGCATCGCCCACACTGAAGGTGTTGATGCCTTCAGGGAAGTCGTGTGCTGTATACGCAACTGCGCACAATTCTGAGTCATTTATAAATGCTTTGCCATTACTTATTGCCAATTATGGACCCAGACTATTGTCCTATCAACTCATAGTCCCTGGCACGTAATAATATGCTACACAGTGGCAGTGAGGGTTGCAAAATGCTGATTTATTACTAATAAACCCCAATGATCCGATCGAAATTATGGATTTTGATCGGATCATTGAGGGAGCACGTGCCACCCCCTCCCCCCCCACTGGCTCCGCCAGTGCGTACAAGTACATTGACAAGGACGAGCGATAGCGGACAGGGGTACAGATATTCTGCAAACGACAATCCCGAGGCCAGGTGCCCACGGGGTAAGTGGAAAGGGGATTGAGCTCAGTGCCTTATCTTGACCTCGACTTTAACAACAGGCTCGCCAACTTACGGACTGTGGCTCAACATCGCCTTCGGACGCCCTGACGCGCGCGCAATTCCACAGCGCTTGTGAGTACCGCCAGCGTCCAACACCGCGGCGGGGCGGCCGTGCGTGCGTGCGTGCGGCACTCACGGACAGCACGTTCTTCACAACTATGACGGCCACGTTGTAGGCGATCATGTAGTCCCACAGCAGCAGCGTCCGGCGCAGCGGCTGCAGCAGCAGCTGCCCGCCGAACAGCAGGAAGTAGAAGCAGCCCACGAGGTAGCCCATGCAGAAGAAGCTGATGCGCATGGTGCCCGCGAAGAAAATCACGATGAGGACGAACCAGAAGAGGTAGCTGAAGAGGATCACCTTGATCATGTCCAGGTAGGACCTGGGAGAGGACGGCAAGAGCGGGGGGCCCGGTGGCTCAAGAGGTCGGAGTGCTGAGCCGGCGCCGCCGAGTGAATCGGGGCAGCCGCCCGTGATGTACGTACGTATGTATGCACATATGTATATACGTACGTACGTTGAACTTATTTCGCACCGTACGTAGCCGACCGTGCTAAATCGGAGGTGATGAGCTGGCTGCCTAAGAGTGGCAAGCTGGTGGCTCTGAGCTCGGTCACCAATGCCGTTACAAAAACAACAAAAAACCTTCAAATTGAATTTGCTTCTGCACCGAGTTAGGCTGAATTCTAGTGCTGATCACCGCTTGGCAAGGATGCTGAACGGAGTCTCCACCCCGTGGCAGTCCACCACCGTAGCACAACCGGGATGCATTTGCAGGAGACGAAAAAAAAACATTTCCAACGTTCCATGCACACGCACGGAAGGTACGGCACCGCCATCCCCGTGGTCGCCGCCCCCCCATGATCTGAGGATCCAAATAATCACTCGAGACAACAAGAGTGGCTCACTCGAGACCACAACAAGAGTGACTCACTCGAGACCACAAGAGTGGCTCACTCGAGACAACAAGAGTGGCTCACTCGAGACAACAAGAGTGACTCACTCGAGACAACAAGAGTGGCTCACTCGAGACCACAAGAGTGGCTCACTCGAGACAACAAGAGTGACTCACTCGAGACCACAAGAGTGACTCACTCGAGACCACAAGAGTGGCTCACTCGAGACAACAAGAGTGGCTCACTCGAGACAACAAGAGTGGCTCACTCGAGACAACAAGAGTGGCTCACTCGAGACCACAAGAGTGGCTCACTCGAGACCACAAGTGGCTCACTCGAGACCACAAGAGTGGCTCACTCGAGACAACAACAGTGGCTCACTCGAGACAACAAGAGTGGCTCACTCGAGACAACAAGAGTGGCTCATTCGAGACCACAACAGTGGCTCACTCGAGACAACAAGAGTGACTCACTCGAGACCACAAGAGTGGCTCACTCGAGACAACAAGAGTGGCTCACTCGAGACCACGAGAGTGAGCCACTCGAGACAAGTGGCTCACTGGAGACAACAAGAGTGGCTCACTCGAGACCACAACAGTGGCTCACTCGAGACAACAAGAGTGACTCACTCGAGACCACAAGAGTGGCTCACTCGAGACCACAAGAGTGGCTCACTCGAGACCACGAGAGTGAGCCACTCGAGACAAGTGGCTCACTCGAGACCACAAGAGTGGCTCACTCGAGACAACAAGAGTGGCTCACTCGAACGCTGCCGCAAGAGGTCACGCGTTTGGCACAACGGTCCCTCGCTGACGACGCGCGATTGATGAGCGAGCGAACGCACACGCACGATCCGCACTACGCACACGCGCGATCCACACTACGCACACGCACGATCCACACTACGCACACGCACGATCCACACTACGCACACGCACGATCCACACTACGCACACGCACGATCCACACTACGCACACGCACGATCCACACTACGCACACGCACGATCCACACTACGCACACGCACGATCCACACTACGCACACGCACGATCCACACTACGCACACGCACGATCCGCACTACGCACACGCGCGATCCACACTACGCACACGCGCGATCCACACTACGCACACGCGCGATCCACACTACGCACACGCACGACCCACACTACACACACGCACGATCCGCACTATGCACACGCACGATCCACACTACGCACACGCGCGATCCGCACTACGCACACGCACGATCCGCACTACGCTGCATTCAATGGGACGGCGTAACACACACGAATCGGCGGGGAGATGAGACGATGACAACGTTGGCGCAAAAATATCGAACTGATCTTTCTTGAATCGCCATCGGCCGTCAGCTCCATGGACCCACTTGCAGTGGATGAAGTCGGGCACGGGGTTGTCGGAGCTGAAGTCGACGGCGTTGAGGCTCCAGCAAACCTCCACATTGTCCCCGGCCTGCAGGCGCACGGCCGCGCGGTTCTCCTCCTCGAACACGCACAGCTGCAGTGACGCCACCAGCAGCAGCATGCAGTCGTCTGAGGGTGCCACGCACGCAGGGCGCCGCGCACGGCGAGGGGAGGTGGAGGGAGCGAGGCAGGGGACACGGAGGTGGAGGAGGTGTTTTCTGTAATGCGTCGTGGCTTCAGGTGAGGAGGTGCGGTGACCGAGGAGGTGCAGAGGTGGTAGGGGAGTAGTAGGTGTGGTTGCTCACAGATGATGAGGATGGGGTTGGGTCTCATTGCGAAGTCGGGAAAGAAGAGCCACTTGATGAGGTTGGAGTTGAAGGTGGCTCCGGCGAACCTCCATGGGTACTCTGACACACACAGTGTGAAACGCGGCACGCGCGGTGTGAAACGCGGCACGCGCGGTGTGAAACGCGGCACGTGCAGTGTGCACGCGGCACGCATGGTGTGCACATTTCCACCCACTAGGACCCTCCGTAAGATAGCCTTTGTGGGCAGCATTCTGAAGACGACGCTGCTGGGCAGGATGCTATCGACTCGCAAACGGTTTCGCGACGAATCCTTCGACCGTGAGACCACGGAAGAAGAGAAAAACATCTAACGTTCGAGACATCGCCACGAACAAAGGTGCTCACGTAGCTTATCAGTTTAATATAAAGTTTTTTAGAATGTAAACTTGTAACGTGCCGCACAATATTTGTTCACTCTCGTAGAGGACAACTCAGAGGCGCGAGGAGGACTCGCAGACGAGCGGGGATGCAGCCGCGCAAAAGAGCCGGCGCTAACAAATGCCCATGCTCTGCGGTCCTCTATATGCTGAGATGTTATCAACCGATTAAAGTGTATTACACGTGGGAGAAAACCGGAGCACGCGGAGAAAACCCCGCGCGTGCAAAGGGGAAACACTCGATCCCAAACAGACGGAACAAGTCGAGTCCACGTTTTTGCTGTACCGCCTTTCCCTGGCAAGCCACGGTACGGTTCCTCGGAGTTTCGCAACGCTCGTGTGGCGATCCACCGACTCTTGCCGCTGCCCTCACAGTGGGGGGGGGGGGGTGGGGGTGGTACGCGACTGCCGAGCGAAGTGGCGGTGGCTTGCGTGCGCCCACCCTGGCAGAGCGCTGGGGGGATGCCGATGCACAGCAGGTACTGGAAGAGCATGAGCGACGCCAAGAAGAGGCAGTATCGTGGCCAGGCCTGCGCGATTGCCTTGCGGCGCCGGCGGGCCATGAGCGCCAGCATGCAGGCCCCGTGGAGGCACGCGTACAGGTCCATGCGCTGGCCCACCGTGTTCACCGCCGTCAGCAAGCAGATCTGGCCGCGGGGCGAGCAGGGGAACGGGCGGGGGAACGGGCGGGGGAACGGGCAGGGGAACGGGCGGCGCGTTCACACACGGCAACTTGCTTCCGGGCCAAAGCGCTCGGCGGACACTTGAGACGTCGGTGCTGCGACCGTGAGACTTTGATGTCATCGTGGTATTTCACAGCCGTGCCCTACTACAATACGAATACAACAATTAACGCCCCTTTGTTAATTGTCCTGTGGTTTGGGATGATTGGTATCCTGAAGTGGAAGATTAGTTGCTGGATACAACCACATTTGTTCATGTGATTTGTAGTGTTAATCCTTACCCCTCCCCCCACCCCCCCCCCCCTTGTATCGACAGTTACATTTGAATGTGCAATTGAATTGAAGGACTGTGTGTTGTTGTCTTGCTGTGGTCTGGGACTGGTGTTTTGGTGCCTTGCCCAAGATTACATTTGGTGTTGACAAATCGGCAGGAATTTCTGTACTCATGCACTTCATTTATATGTATTTATATTCTTTGGGTCTTTCAGTAAAGTCACAACGTAGTTTTTTGTTATTTTTTGTTATTTTCTTTGGACCGATCTACGTGACTTTACCAAAAGACCCAAAGAATATGATTTCCTGTAGTTGCGAAAGCTTTAAGTCAAGATAAATCGATTTATTCTTCGTGACTTGCTTGCCTCTTCTCTGTTCTGCACTCCGATTGGTTTTTATTGTATCGTTTGTTGTCGTTCACCCCGTGACCCAACTGGACACTTGTGAAAAAGAGCTTTATAGCCCATCGGATTCCTCCTCCAGTTTACAAAAACACTCCGATTCTGAGTGCTTGGCAAGTGGCAGGAAACCGGAGTGCGTGGGGAAAACTAAACACGGACAAGGAGAAACACCCACACGCTCCGCATGGACGGATTCCAGAATCCGCTAATTTACGGCCAGCGGCAAAAGCAGGCGCCACCGATCCGTGAGGACGCCGCGGCCGCCTGCACCGGACCCACGGAGTGGTCGCAGTACCTCGAGGCTCAACTTGTAGAACTAAACTAACCTATTTTTTATTTCACCAGGTAAGGCCCACTGAGCTATGTGGCTCTTTTTCAGAAGCGACCTGGCCACAAATGATAGCTCAACGAAGTAGCGGCTTATCACGTGGACATTTATAGCAGCCGAATACTCTAAACACGTGACGTTGATCAAAAATGTAAAAGGAAAAACTCGGAGGACCCGGAGAAAAATCCACGGGGAGAGAGACACGCAAACTCCAAATATACAGCAGCAGGGGTAAGGGTCGGGATCGATCCCACAACCTCCTGTATACCAGGCGAGGTAGTTAACATCTCCTAGCCACCGTGATGATTATGATGATGAGAGAGACACGCAGACTCCAAATATACAGCAGCAGGGGTATGGGTCGGGATCAATCCCACAACCTCCTGTATACCAGGCGAGGTAGTTAACATCTACTAGCCACCGTCATGATAATGAGACAGAGAGACAATCAAACTCTAAATATATAGCAGCAGGCATCACAGTCGGGATCAAACCCACGACTTCCTGTATACCAGGCGAGGTAGTCAACTTCTCGCCACTGCGGTGCCCAAACCTGGCTGGCTGATCAACGTTGAGCCGAGGCCCTCATCAGTGTTGGCTCAACTCTCTGACAACGGCTTTAGCCCCCCCCTGAGCCACCCAGACCACCGCACACATGGCGCCTTGCGGAGTCACGGTGGTCACATTGCAGCACAGACGCATGTCAATGTCGCCCACAGATCGGTGCCACAAGGATTCCCAGGGCTTACACCTGTGGCCTCCGTTTTCCCCATCCACACGAGACACACAAACGCCAAATATACAGCAGCAGGCATCAGGGTAGGGATCGAACCCACGACCTCCTACACACCAGGCGAGGTAGTTAACATATCCGAGCCTGGGGTAATTCACATATATTATGCATGCACACCATGCCTACACATTCTGCCGTATTTTTTTGGGTGCAAGAAATCGCAATAGCTGTTATTGTACAGCGGCGATGGAGTCTAAAGTGCAGCAAACTCGTGAGCGAGCGAGCGAGCGGCGGCGGCGCGCTACCTCGAGGCCGAACTTGTAGAAGCCGTAGTTGATGAAGTACTTGATGCAGCCCAAGATGCCCTCGTCCAGGTTGCGCCGCGACACGTTTTCGAAGACGGTGCTCATGAGCGGCGGCGTGAGGCCGAAGTGCAGCCGGTGGTAGAGCTGCCGCCTCGTCACCGTGATCTCCACCACCAGCAGCGCCAGCGCCACCACGTGGTGCTGCACAAGCGGGGAGGGGGGGGGGGGGCGACTCGACCCATCATGTCTCTGGGTCCGATAAAAAAGGTACCACTTGGTGAGGAACAGCGGTTGTCCCTACAGACAGACTTGGCCTCTGGCACAACAATGTGAAACCTCCACGACTGCTCCAGGGACGTGAAATAAAAATGAGCGCTGCCTCTCAATTCTCACGTCAGTAGCAACGACGGCCTCACGTCCGGGCCGCTGACCTCCGCTGCCACGGCCCGCAGCAGCCGGACGGTGGGGAGTTTAAAACCCGGCTTTGGGTGGATTCAACCCGTAATCCCTCCAGGATCGATACGATCATGTGGGAAGCCAACAGTGGACTGCCAACAGAACGCCGGGCCTCACCACGCCAAAAAGGAATTTCTACCGCAGAAATGAAGAGCACTGCTCTGTAGCAGAGGCACGGTGAGACTTTTAAAGTGTGTTCCCGGGTGGCAGCGTAGAACATTAAAGGCATCCCTAGGTATCCCAGGCTGATGATATAGATGACGTGGATATGCTTTGTCTCCAGATACAGGTAAAGATTTGTATATGAGGATGGCGACACAGACGTCTCTACTGCGTCCTCAGATGGAGACACTATATATCTGTTTGACACGGAGGCTTACGCGACCAATATTATTCATAATCAAGGTTTTTTGGGTTAGATCGCGTAAATATAAATGTGTCGTTAACCCGCCACCACCCGACACAACCAACCAGTCAGGTTTGTCACGTAAGCAAAACGTGCCAATTACTTTTGCTAATTCTGGCAAAATCGACCGATGATGCTGGATGTAATTACCAGTGAAACGTAACAGTACTCAAATTGTAATTTTTGTGGATTTACTCTCCAACACACTATTGTGTGTGTGGGCGCTGTATGGCGGTGTGTGTGGGTGTGTGTGGGCGCCGTATGGCGGTGTGTGTGGGTGTGTGTGGGTGTGTGTGGGCGCCGTATGGCGGTGTGTGTGGGTGGGTGTGTGTGTGTGGGTGTGTGTGGGTGTGTGGGTGTGTGTGTGTGTGGGTGTGTGTGGGTGTGGGTGTGGGTGTGTGTGTGTGTGGGCGCCGTACCCGGATGTAGGAGAACACCGGCCGTGATTTGCGAATCCCGACCCACGGCAGGGGATCGACGGGCCCAGCGTACAGTGTGGAGCCTCGCAGCAGCTCCTCCGTCTCCAACGACGTCTCGTTCAGCAGCGGCTATCACGCCGCATCGAGCAAGCACATGAACACACACAGAGACACAAACAAATACAAAGATCCCCCGTATAGCCTGTAACAGACTTTTGAGGCAAGTGCTGTGCTGTTAGTTTGAGGCAAGTGCTGTTAGTTAACGCCTATGAAGGCCAGAACGGCACACGAGGGGGGTGGGTGGCCAGCATCACACTCGGCCGCCTTTGTCTCCCCAGTGACGATGTTTACACACTGCACCAGGTACTTATTTGAGGCTGAGTCGACCTAGGGGAGGCCCAAGGCCGGTTCAGATAATCGCCACTGGCATTGGCCGCGAGCGGGAATCGAACCCGGGTCGCCAGGTTCGTAGCGCAGCGCACGAACCGCTACACTGCCGCTCCCCACATGCACACACACAGACAGACAGACACACACACAGACAGACACGCACACACACAGACAGACACACACACAGACAGACACGCACACACACAGACAGACACACACACAGACAGACACATTTCAACCAAAGCGACGTTAAACATCCCCCTGTCTTCATTTAAAACGCGATTGTTGTCAGCCGGCGTTATTGTCCACATTTGGCAAATTGACTCAATAGGTATTACACACAGCAGCAATCATCGCCCCCTGCTGACAGACTAGCGCCCGTTCGGAGGCCAGGTGCTGGAGGTCACCTTGTGACCACATGGACAGCCGACACTGGGAACGCCCTTTCAAATGTTTGAGATGCGATGCGACGCAAGTCGCCGATCGCGCAGAGTAAGCGGAGACAACGGTCTGGGTCCCAGCATTTCGGAAGATGCGGCCCCAGATGACGCTCCTCACCACCGAGCAGTTGCTGGAGTAGTGGACGGGGTCGATGGTGTCCAGCTGGTAGATCATCTTGCAGATGATGAGCACGCACGCCCACACAGTGCTGATGGACGCAGCGAGCGGCCGGAAGCGCACGCACGGCAGCGCGAACACCCAGAGCCCCAGGAAGAGCGAGTTCATCAGGGACACCTGCACAGCGCGCACACACGGCAAGCGCCACCGCGTGCTCCACCTCAGGCAGCAGCAGCAGCCGTTGCAGCAGCAGCAGCAGCAGCTTCGATTCCTGCTACTCATAGCGGGAAGGTCGGCAAACCGATAGGTTCGGTGTCCCAAGCGATGACATCGCGAGCGAAGGGTTAACATTAACTGGATGCGGTTAGCATTAACCAGACATCGATAGCGAAGGGTTAACATGAACCAGGTGCGCCGAGAGAAGGCTGCCGTCGTCACCTGATGCGTGTCCGTGTTGTACCACGTGTTGTTGTTTGTTCCTCCCAAGTGCTAGGCGCTTGATCTGCATAATAAGCGGCCACGCATTCTAGAGCCACCAACACACGTGCGTGTTCTTTACTTAGCACGTGGTCCTGCAGAGCTCTGAACGAGCGAGTGGGCTACTCGTCTGGAGATACGTTTTAAGCGAGGAAACTTTGTCATCGAGAGCAATTGGCCTGGCTTCGAACCATCTAGAGGAGGGGTCGGCGACCAAAATAACAAGAAGATTGTTTTTGTTCGAATTCGGTACAAAAAAATAACCCAATACTTGAAAAGCCGCAATGCAATATGATTACCAGAAGGTTGGGGTCCTTAATGAATGACGTCACGATGCGGCCCTTAAAGAGCCACCGCACGCGGCTCCGGAGCCGCGGGTTGCCGACCCCTGGCCTCGAGGGTTGAGCCCTCGGCCGCCACCGACTGGAGGCGCGCGTGAACCGGACGCGGACGCTGGGCCGCAGCCTGCTACGTGCGAGTGCTCACGTCCTTGAGGGAGATCCAGATGATGTAGAAGGAGACGACCTTGATGATGTGCAGCTCCAGGATGCGCCAGGCCAGGGTCTGCACCTTGCGCAGAATGTCCACCGACTTGAGGAAGAGCACCGTCAGCCGGTCGAGCACCAGCATCCACTTGTTCCGCTCCTCCTCTTCCTCCTCTTCCTCCTCTTCCTCCGTCTCCATTTCATCGTCCTCATCCTCATCCTCTTCTTTCTCTGTCAAGGCAAAAGTGTGCACTCCGGATGATCAGTGCCATCTTTACTCATCACTGCATCGCGCTCATTCAGGTGCGCTTCTGCGGCCGTCTTGAACGCTCTTCCTTACGATAATAGGAAGCCCACTGGAGCTATGCACTTTTAAATCATCTCGATTGATAAACTAATTTCTTTAGAACTGCTTTTTGTGTTTAGTTTGTTGTCCTTTCCCCCGCACCTCCGATTAGCACGATTGGCTACATACGGTGCAAAAGAAGTTCAACAGACATGCAACATTATTTGCCACGATCTATCCACTGCTGGATGAAGGCCTCCTCAAGCCCCACAGTTCTGCAATGCAACGATCCACTGAGCACCGACACGCTCCAAATCACGTGAGCCGATTTCGTCGCTCCATTTTCACACTGGACGTCCTCCCCGGTGCGTTCCCTCCCTTGGCTGTCGCTCCATTGTGAGTCTCGACGACCCGCCATCGTCTCTTCTGGTGACACGTCCTGGGCACCGCGGTGGCGAGCTCCCTTGCCTGGTATACAGGTCACGGGTTCGATCCCGACCCTGACGCTTGCTGTATATTCAGAGTTTGCGGTGTCTCTCTCATCCTGATCGCGTGGAATTTTCCGGGTCCTCCGGTTGTCCCCTCCATGTTAAGAAACGTGCGTTTAGAGTATTTGGCTGCTATAAATTTCCACGTGATAAGCTACTTCGTTGAGCTATCAGTTGTGGCCAGGTCACTTCTGAAAAAAAAGCGACGTAGCTCAGTGGGCCTTGCCTGGTAAAATAAAAAATAAAGTTTAGTTTTAGTTTACGTCCAGCCCCAGCCAACTTGCTTGGCTGCAGGCAAACTTAAGCTTTGCTTAATCTGCTCCAGCATTTCACCTGCATGTGTTCGCTAATCCCTATGTTTCTGTCCTCCGTCTCTCGAAGTAATGCCAAACATGCACCTACCTCTCCACGCTTCAGTGCGATCTTCAAAAGTGTTTATTTATATCGAGGATGGCCCCAGCCATAGGAATGTGGAATGTTCCAGCACCGGCTCAGGGTCGCCGATGAATATAGCACTGCCCCACACTCGCTGGAGCAGGGGGACGGCCTCACACCCTCCAGGGTGTCTCTCATCAAAGGGCCCGCGTGTCAGCAATGACACGTCACACTCTCGGCTGGCACGGCCTGAGGTCCACACAGCTTCGGGTGCCTTTACAGTTGAAAATGAAGTGGTCACGCAAGACGATGGAATAAAAAAATAGGCTTTAACCCTTTCCGGCAATAGGAATGTGGAATTCCCACCACCGGCCGAGACAGCCTGGAGGTTATGAGGCGACAAATGGGTCCCATAGATGGCAATCCAAGCCTTGCCAATCCAATGTGGTGATCCATAAGAGGGTTTTTTTGGTTCGATCAAGTAAATATAAACGTGTCGTTAAACCGCCACCACCACCCGACACAGCCAATCAGTAAGGTTTGTCATGTAAACAAAACGTGCCAATTCGTTACTAGTTCAGCACACCGGTGTGTTGGAGAGTAAACACACAACATTTATAATTCGAGTACGACGTTTCGCCGTTACTTGCAACCAGCCTGAACTTCTATTATGGATAATATTGATCGCAAAATCCTACGTGTTAAACCCACTGTGGTGACTTTGCCATCGCGGGAGTCATAGGTGTCACGTGGTTGGCATGGGCCCTGGTGGGAGGAACGACACAGGCGGTGCTCTCTCCAACACCGCACGGCACCGGGGCCCCTCCGGCGTTTGGGCACCGGTGCAGCTGCACTGCCTGCACACCCCGTAGCCGCATCGTCCATCGTCGTCACAAGCGGCACCCGTCGTCGCAGCGGTGCGACGAATCTTACCTCCGTCGGGCGGCGGGGAATCCCGGTCCTCCGTGGGGTACTCCGCTGATTCCTTCTCGCACACCGCAGCCTCTTCCCCGCCTCCCGGCTGCTCCCCTACCGCTCCATTTCTCTGCATGCCCACGTCCGGGAGGCTCCCCTCGTCCGTGGCAAGCCTGGCGCACACGACACAACTTGCAGTAGGAACGTGGCACGGCGGCAACGGCAGGCAGGCGACCAGAACACCCGCGGTTGACGCACGTGGCGCTCGGGGGAGATGCGTGGCGTGCGACGGTGGCGTGCTTGACGATTGGGTCGATGGCGCGGGGTGGCGGCAAGCTGCGGGCGATCGACCCGATGACAATGCGAGGTCTTGCTCAGTGAGTGCTGCGGTCAATGGTGATCCACGAAAACCGGGAATGAATGCGTGGGGCTGGATGACACAAGGCGGTTAAGCAGAATGATGCGTGCTGCATACGTACAACGTGCGGCAACCCCTGTAGCGTGATCGTATTCATGGGTGGGCATAGAACAACTCGGAGGGGGGCGAAGCCCGTGGTACGGGAACCAAAATATCAATAAATGGGAAAAGCGAAACACGATGGTGGGCGCTTATTCGCCGAACTGAAGCAGGCTCGCTCGGGCAGTGTATCCATGGTTACGGTGTTCACGGCCCTGGCGAACTTTGAGGAAAACCCGCATCAACTTTTTTTTTTACTTGAGAATTTAAAAGCGGGCTGAACCGAATGCTCCAGGACTGAAGTACAGCATATAAAGTTGGCATTGCACGTATACTCATGCACACACATGAATGTAAACATCGGAATGAAAACAACAACAACAACAAAAGTCCACTGAAGAGCCTTCTGAACTGTCACAGCAAATGCTGATGGTGGCTGTTCAGGCCGAAACAGCAGACATGAGTGAACTGGCCAGCATCGTACATGCCTGGCCATCTCTGTCTCCCAAGTGTTGCTCTTGCCACACTACCCCACGCCTTGCCTAACCTAGGGTGGGTCCAGGCCAAGTAGAGGTCACCCATTTCCCGTGCGGCCTTATAAATTAAACCTTAAGTTACTGGGATGTTACCACAATGCAGCCACAATGTTTATTAGTTTGTTGTGCTTCCCCCGCACCTCTGTTCAGCACGGTTGGCTTCGTACGGTGCGAAAGGAGTTCAACATGCGTACGTATAATCATCACGGCCGCTAAGCGTGCAAAGATCCCCGGAGATCTCCCCGCCTTACAGTCCAGACGGGCGAGTGCTGTCAGCAAACACCCATTGAGTGTGGCGTGACACACCAATGGGTGGTGTGGCTGGGAACCACACAAGGCGGAGTGAACCTTGATGAGGCTCAGGACAGGTTCCAACTTGCAGGGTATAAATCAGAGCGAGATTTCTGAGAAAGTAGCTCGGTGTGGTTTTTTAGTGACTTCAGGGATCCTGTCAACTTCAGGAAGTGGAGTGTGCGTCGCGAGCTTAAGAACTTCTTTTAATGGCAGCGTCGTCACACCCTGACGAACCGCTATGTCACCACTCGCCCAGCGACACACTGCGATGCACGGCGACAACAACAACAACAACAAGAACTGCGGCAACAACAACAGCACAGCCCCGTGAAACGATGGAACGGGAACGTGGTGGAATGGAAGAGTCGAGGGGGGTTTGGCTCATGAACGTTGGCTTGGAGGAACCTGCACAAGCCAATTCATGGCACGTACACACACTTACTGGGGACGCCTTTTGCCTAGATTTTCCTTGATGCTGGACACATAGGGGAGAGCGTTAGTGAGAGACGGAGGGGGGGCAGGGAGTTACCAGCAGAAGCAGCAGCACCCCACACAGCAGCAGCAGCAGCACCCCACACCCCAGCAGCACCCCACACAGCAGCAGCACCCCACACCCCAGCAGCACCCCACACCCCACAGCAGCACACCACACAGCAGCAGCAGCAGCACCCCACACCCCAGCAGCAGCACCCCACACAGCAGCACCCTACACCCCACACCACAGCAGCACCCCACACCACAGCAGCACTCCACACCACAGCAGCACCCCACACAGCACCCCACACCGCAGCAGCACCCCACACCACAGCAGCACCCCACACCACAGCAGCAGCACCCCACACAGCAGCACCCTACACCCCACACCACAGCAGCACCCCACACCACAGCAGCACTCCACACCACAGCAGCACCCCACACAGCACCCCACACCGCAGCAGCACCCCACACCACAGCAGCACCCCACACCACAGCAGCACCCCACACCACAGCAGCACTCCACACCACAGCAGCACCCCACACAGCACCCCACACCGCAGCAGCAGCAACGCGAGCCAGCCTAGACGAGGCCTGATCCTCGCAGGACTGGTCTAGCTCTGGTCAACAAGTCCACTTTATGTTTGCTTACAAATATATTGTTGTTTAAAGGCCATTTTTGCAAGTCCGGTACTTACAGAAGGGGCATAATATATGTAGCAGTATAATTGAGGACAGTTGTGTTGTTTTAAGCGTTTATAATGTAGTAATGATTTGTTTATATTTTCTCGTTTAGGTGCACCCTAGCTTGATTCGTGCACCAAATATCAGGTACAAGGGTTAATTTGAAAAAAAAATATCCCATCATTGTAATAACGAGTACATTTTCATTAAAATCGAATTGGTCTGTGAGCTTAATTATTTCACACAACTGTGATGTCACCAAGTTGTGGAGCGTGTCCGTGACACGCGTTGTGTCAGCACGCCGGCACCGTCGCTTAGGGCCAGCCTCGCCATGCATTGTGGGTAGCCGCGGCGCCTAGTCGGATCGGTATTGTTGGAGAGGGGACCGCTGCTGAATTAGCAGGGTGGGTGGCAGAACAGGAAACACTCAGTGAAGTGTACCCTCCACTTTGGGTTCAGTAGAGACACACACTTTTTTTTAGGTGCGGTTCTGCGGCCGTCGGGAATGATCTTCCTTACGATATTAGGAAGCCACTGGAGCTATGCACTTTTACATCATCTAGATTAGAAACTCATATCCTAAGAACTTCTTTTTGTGTTTAGTTTATTGTCCTTCCCCCGCACCTCCGATTCGCACGGTTGGCTACGTACGGTGCGAAAGCTCAGCATAAAATGCAATACACTCGCCCACTCTTTCTTTAAAGAGAGACACCGTCCGCTCTGGAACCGGGATGGCGAGGTTGACGACAGCAAGGACAATGCAACATTTTAAAACCTCTCTGCTCAACCACGTGGGTTATTAACGCTGCTGAGCCGCATGCGGGAAGAGACTTCACGCCCTTGGAACCCCACAGTTCCCTTCAAGGCTACGTTCTGGCTTGCGTTGCTCGAGAAACACGTAACTGCAACTTGCATTCCCAGAAGCATGCCAAGCACCCGCGCAACCACTCTCTACTCGTGCACAGCATGCCGGGCACGTGTGCTACGTGCAAAGCACACCGCGGTTGTCCAAACGTGAAACCCCGTTCAGAGCATGCCGCTTAAACCGCGAGAGACAGGGGCTTGAGCAGGGTAAACGATAACAACAAATTCAAGTCCAGGTGTTTTCCCCCGGCTTAAATTAACATGAGAGCTGCGCTCAACCCCTTTGTGGGGGTCCTGAGCCAGGAGTGGAAATTCCACATTACTATGGCAGGGGCTGATCGATATGTCAGTACTATAAATATAATAACGTGCATAAGAGGATAGAGGTTTAAAAGAGACTGAGAGAGACGGGCATGGATAGAGGATGCAGCATGGCGAGTGAGTGGGTTACCCACCTATTGACTAACACATAGACTCTCCCACTGACTTTAGAGTAGCTAAGCAGCAGGCGGAGGAAGGGAAAGAGAGACAAAAAGCACACACACACACACCAGTTAGCCAGACGAGCACAGCGACACACGGCCAGAGGTGCCCCTCGTCATCCTCGCAGGTGACCGGGGCGCGTGCTGTCTGTGAACATCGGTGAGCGAGCACGGCAAGGGCGTTTGGCCAATGTCCCAATATTCCCCAGCTGCCTTTGTTTCCCCGGTGCTCACGTTCACGCATCAGATCAGACACTTCAAACCCAGCGGGTGGTGTGGAAGGACCCGACCAGATTCAGATACACATCGGGACACACGTTGTGCCAGACAATTCGTGTAGTATTGCGCTTCGGCGGTGGACCCGCCGGTACCGTTGCTCCCAACACAGCACCCGCACCGACAGCTTTATGCGAGGCGTTAGGAGTCCTTCGGACTCGGCGAAAAAAGCGCAGCCGCTTATTTGGGGGTTAGGCAAAGCACACCCCCTACCCCCTACCCCCCCCCATTCCCCACACTTTAACAATGGCTCATTCCACGCGGGCAAGCGGCACGCATCGGAACGCGTACAAGACAAGGCGGCGGGAGATGCGAGATGATATTATCGGAGGGGTGTTACGTCTCAATGCAACGCTCCGCTGTGAAGACACGAGCACAGTGCGCTGTATCAGCGCTGGCTTTGAAGAGGAATGGGGAGACGCGCGTAGCTTTCGGAGCCGCGCGCGCGCATTTGTCTGTGTGTGCGCCCACGTGTAGGTTGCGCCTGTGGTGCCTGCATGCGTGGTGTGTGCTGTGCAAAGCTGTGTATGCACAGTATGCATCGCGTTCATCGCTATGCGTACATTTGTATGTGCATGTATGTTGAACTTCTTTCGCACCGTACGGAGCCAACCGTGCTAATCGGAGGTGTGATTTGTGTGTGAAGCAATATTGCGTTCAGAAGATATGACATGCATGTGCACTTTGCGTGCGTGTCCTGCGTGTGTGTATGCATGCGTGCTCGTGCTGTGCATGCTGTGTGTGTGTGTGCATGCTGTGTATGTGTGTGCATGCTGTTTGTGTGCGTGCTGTGTGTGTGTGCATGGTGTGTGTGTGCATGCTGTGTGTGTGTGCATGCTGTGTGTGTGCATGCTGTGTGTGTGTGCATGCTGTGTGTGTGTGTGTGTGCATGCTGTGTGTGTGTGTGTGCATGCTGTGTGTGTGCATGCTGTGTGTGTGTGTGCATGCTGTGTGTGTGTGTGCATGCTGTGTGTGTGTGTGCATGCTGTGTGTGTGTGTGTGTGCATGCTGTGTGTGTGCATGCTGTGTGTGTGTGTGTACATGCTGTTTGTGTGTGTGCATGCTGTGTGTGTGTGTGCATGCTGTGTGTGTGTGTGTGCATGCTGTGTGTGTGCATGCTGTGTGTGTGTGTGCATGCTGTGTATGTGTGTGCATGCTGTGTGTGTGTGTGCATGCTGTGTATGTGTGTGCGTGCTCTGCGTATGTGCGCGCGTGCTCTGCGTGCGTGCGTGCTCGGCACCTGTAGGCAACGCCCTGGTTAGCGCGGGCGGCGCTGTCCAGGTCGGTGAGCGCCAGGAAGCTGTCGTGGAAGTAGTGCAGCTGCAGGATGCAGCAGAGCAGGAAGGCGGTGGGGATAAGCACCTGGGTGAAGAGCTCCGACACGCTGAACTGTTGCAGACCCAGATCACGCAGCCTGCGGCCCACACAAAGGTCCCCCGCATGGCCGTTACGGCAAGCTGCGGCAAGCGCCGGGAGCGTGCACCGAACACGCCGGAGCGCCTTTGTCTCCTCGCTGAGATGACGCACCGGGTACTCGTTTAATGCCGAGTCGACCTAAGGGTGGCCCGGGATCGGTTCAAATTTACAGCAGGTGACGTTGGCCGTGAGCGGGAATCGAAATCGGGTCGCCGGGTTCGTAGCGCAAGCCGCACTAACCGCTGCGCCACCGATCCCAACCTAAAGACACGTGCGCGGTACCGGACTCGCATGCGCGCACACAGATTCTCCCACACAGATTCTCCCACACAGATTCTCCCACACAGATTCTCCCACACAGATTCTCCCACACAGATTCTCCCACACAGATTCTCCCACACACAGATTCTCCCACACAGATTCTCCCACACAGAGATTCTCCAACACAGATTCTGCCACACAGATTCTCCCACGCAGATTCTCCCACGCAGATTCTCCCACACAGATTCTCTCACACAGAGATTCTCCCACACGCAGATTCTCCCACACAGAGATTCTCCCACACAGAGATTCTCCTACACACAGATTCTCCCACACAGAGATTCTCCCACACAGATTCTCCCACACGCAGATTCTCCCACACACAGATTCTCCCACGCAGATTCTCCCACGCAGATTCTCCCACACAGAGATTCTCCCACACAGATTCTCCCACACAGATTCTCCCACACAGATTCTCTCACACAGAGATTCTCCCACACACAGATTCTCCCACACAGATTCTCCCACACAGATTCTCCCACACAGAGATTCTCCCACACGGAATCTCCCACGCAGATTCTCCCACACAGAGATTCTCCCACACAGATTCTCCCACACAGATTCTCCCACACAGATTCTCCCACACAGAGATTCTCCCACACAGAATCTCCCACGCAGATTCTCCCACACAGATTCTACCACACAGAGATTCTCCCACACAGATTCTCCAACACAGATTCTCTCACACAGATTCTCCCACACAGAGATTCTCCCACACAGATTCTCCAACACAGATTCTCCCACACAGATTCTACCACACAGAGATTCTCCCACACAGATTCTCCAACACAGATTCTCTCACACAGATTCTCCCACACAGAGATTCTCCCACACAGATTATCCCACAATCAGAATCTTTACTGAGACTGGGGGAGGATTCCGATGCGCTATGAAGCTCTTGTTCACAGATGTCCAGTACAGGGAGCTGAGTCAGCGAGTTACATCGGCAAACAATACAAACACAAGATAGGAACTCTAAATAGAGAATATGGTAACCAAGTCACTCAATATAAATATATGTATAAATAAATGTTAGAGATAATTATCTATGATTTACTTTGTTATATTAGTCCGATTTATCAAGGCCGGGCAAGGCAGCAAAAACAAGAACAAAACGGTTCCAGACCACACCAAGATAATGCCACAGCAGTCAACCCTCAATGAAATGAGCACAATAACAATGGGAGCAGCAGGTGGGGAGAGACAGCCCCCCCCACCCCAGGTGGGGAGAGACAGCCCCCACCCACCCCAGGTGGGGAGAGACAGCCCCCACCCACCCCAGGTGGGGAGAGACAGACCCCACCACCCCCACCCCCCAGGTGGGGAGAGACAGCCCCCCCCTCCCCCCAGGTGGGTGGGTGGGGACAGCAGCCCGTGGGAGGGGAGGGCCGTCCCAGAGTGGGAGCGGCACTCACTGTGAGTCCGAGAGGCGCGTCATGTTCCTCCACAGGCCGGGGAAGGACTCGAACTGGTAGGTGTAGATGAAGATGGTGACCAGCATCGTGTAGGACACCACCACCATCCAGAAGTACTTGAGCAACCGACGCCACCAGTTATAATGCACCTACACAACATACACGCATGCGTGCGCGCACGCCTCTAACACACTGTAGTGGCAAGTGCTGTTAATGTGATGTAGTAATCATTTGTTTCTATTTGCTTGTTAAGGTGCACCCTAGCTTGATTCGTGCACCGAATATCAGCTACAGCAAGGCTTAATTTGGAAAAAAATCCCACTATTGAGCTTAATTATTTCACACAACTGTGAAAATGGGCGGTGTGGTAAGGACCACTAATTTAAGTCCGAGTCGACCTAGAGCGACGGCCAGGACCGGTTCAGATATATAATTCGTCACTAACGTTAGCGACGGCTGGGTAACGAACCCATCTGCCCACTCACCCGATCCATAAGTGGGGGCCCGACGCAGTCTACGAGCAAGGTGGCTCTCGAGAAGCGACAGCCACTCCCATCGTCTCACCGCCTACCGACTCGGCACCCGGGCAGCCCGACGCCACCCGGGTACCAGCGGCAAAAGCCTGGAGTGGGCCGCGGGGCGGCACCTGGTAGAGCGCCACGCAGCCGAGGCACAGCGCCATGTAGATGATCTTGTAGGTGACGAGGCGGCCCTGGAGGCCCACGAAGAAGAACATCCCCCCGCACACGTAGATCCAGTACTTGACGAAGAGGCCGCGCACCAGGGCCCCCAGCACGTGCATCAAGTTGCTGCCCGCCTCGCCCTCGGCCTCTGATCTCGCGCGCACGCGAAGGCGAACGACAAAGATCAATGACAAAGGTCCACCGTGTAGCCGCACGGACTGTTGGGGCAAGCGCTGCGATTGAGAGCATTATATTAAACTAGAGATTTTATTTTACCTGGTAAGGCCCACTGAGCTACATAACTCTTTTTCAGAAGCGACCTGGCCACAAATAATAGCTCAATGAAGCGGCCTATCATGTGGAAATTTATAGCAGCCAAATACTATATTATTTAGGTCTTTCGGTAAAGCCACGTAGATACAAAAAATAATACAATATCACGAAGTTTGATCGCAACACAAGCAATCGTCTTCAGGTGTGTTGCGATCGAAACGTCATGATATTTGTATTATTTTTCTATCTACGTGGCTTTACCGAAAGACCCAAATAATATGAATTCCTGCAGTCACGAAAGCTTTAAGTCAAGATTCAGCCAAATACTCTAAACACATGATGTTGATTATAAATATGGAGGGAAAAACCGGAGGACCCACAGAAAAATCCACACGACCGCGGGGAGAGACATGCAAACTCCAAATATAAAGCAGGCGTCAAGGTCGGGATCGAACGCACGACCTCCTGCATACCGAGGGAGGTTGTGAACATCTCGCTCCCGCGTAACAGTCGGGGATGCGGCCGCCACCACACACGGCCGCATGTCTCCCCAGTGGCGGTGTTTACTCACCGCACCAGATACTCATTTGGGACTGTGTCGACCTAGGAGAGGCCCAAGCCCAGGACCGGTTCAGATGCTTATCGCCAAATTTGGCCATGAGCAGGACTCAAACTCAGATAGCTGCGTTGGTAGTACAGTGTGCCAGCGACTACACTACTGCTCCCCACACAACAACAACAACCGCCATTCGCCACTAAGTGGCGGTGACGTCACCACGACGCTTGTGCCAGGCCATGTGCACCTTGAGGCCACGTGAAGTGTCGAACGCCCGCGGGCAGGAAGTCACGGGGCAGACCCAGGTGCCACGGGTCGACTGACTGAGATGACTGGCTGGTGCACCACCTGTGCCCCCTACTGTGCCAACCTGCTGTGCTTTAGCCACCCAGCGCTCCGCTCGTTGTTGTGATCGTCGCTCCTCCGCCCTCCGTTGTTGTTGGAGGGCGACTGCCTCCAACTGCCCAATAGCGTCCTTCACGAGCCTCCTCCACAGAGGTCGATCTTGACACCGCTGGTACCAGTCATTGGCAAGTCCACTCAGCTCCACGTCCTCCTGTACCACATCACTCCATCTCTTCTCTAGCCCGTGCCGCACCCGTTTAGCCCCCTCGATCCGGCCGAACAAAAGCTGTTTTGGCATGCGGTGGCTGGGCATGCGGGCTACATGACCCAGCCAACGCAGCCTTGCCTGCCGGAGGAGCTCACCGATGGGACCTTGCCCAGATCTTTCAAGGATTTGTGAGCTCCTCACACAATCCAGCCTGGTTAAACCCAGGATGGATCGTAGGCAGGCCAGCCTAAATGTTTCCAACCGGCGAAGATGCTCCATTAAGGGGGTCCACGTTTTGCAAGCGTAGAGAAGGGAGGGAATGACCGTGGCTGTGAAGACCTGAAGCTTAGTGTGGAGCGACAGACCAGGTAGCTTCCACACAGCGTTACGCAACCGATGAAAAGATATTGCCACTCAACTGATTCGGAGTGAGACCTCTGCTGTTAAACTGGAGCCAGTCATAAGCACACTGCCCAGGTATGGGAAACTCTCCACTCTCTCCACAACTGCCCCATCACCGATTGGGAGTTGTGGGGGTGGAGTGTCCGATGGTACAAATACCCAGGCAGGTGCTTAGTTTTGGTGGGGCTGATGGTAAGGCCCCATTTCTTAGTGGCACGCTCCAGCCTCAGCAGCAGCGTCTCCAACTCCTCCTCTGAATGAGCAGCTATTACCAAATCATCGGCATACATGTGGTTGAGCAATAGGGAGCCATCCCTTGACCGCACCCGGGCATCGATCAGCCTCCCATTATATCTGTACCAAATGGAGATTCCCCCGGTACAGCTATTGAAGGCTTCACGAACTACGTGGTCAAAATAGATGTTAAATAATTGGGAGCCAGAGGACATCCCTGTCACACCCCAAGGTGTACAGGGAATGGCTCTGACTCCCGGCCACGTAGTTTTACCCGGGCCCGCTCACCATCATGAAGGTCCTTAATGATTATGAGCAGAGGGTCAGGAACTCCAAAAGCACGAAGAACAACCCACAGCCCAGGCCTACTGATGGTATCATAGGCCTTGACCAGGTCAATAAAGCAGAGATGTAGGTCTTGTTGGAATTCCCTACACCTTTGCTGTAGCAGACGGACAGAAAATATGGCATCTGTGCACGACCGCCCTTTCCTGAAACCGCATTGGGGCTCCGCAAGCCTCTCCTCAGCGTGCCTGGCAAGGCGATGCTGAATAATCCTTGCCAGGACCTTTCCCGGCACACTGAGGAGTGAGATGCCCCTGTAGTTGTTACAGTCTGTGCGGTCCCCCTTCTTAAAGAGGGGGACCACCAAGGCATCCTTCCAATCCTGCGGAACCCATCCAGTGGTCCAGACTGTTGTTATGATGTCATATAGGGCAGTCTGTGCACAAACGCCACCCTCCCTCAGCATTTCGCTTGGGAGATATCTCTGCCCGCTGCCTTTCCTGGTCTCAGACTCCAGATCGCCCTCAGTACTTCCTCAACAGATGGTACTTCAGCCAGCACCGCAGCCTCAGCACATTGTGCCACGATGTTTTCCTGGCTGAGGGATTTTCCCTCCCCCAGGACCTCACAGAAATGCTCAGCAAATCTGCAAACCTGTTCCTGGGGGTCGGAGATCGGATCACCGTTTTTTCCCCTAATGATGGTAATAGGTGTGGCGCTGCAGGTTACTTTTTTGATGGAGTTAAATAGAGATTTGTGATCGCGGGCCACTGAGGCAGACTCCATCTCCTCAGCAACCCGTGACCACCACCCATCCTTGCAGCACCTCACGGGTATCCGAACCTCCGAGCGAAGGCTGCGGTAAGCCTCCTCATTCTCTGACGTGGGATTCTGTAGCCGATGACAGTGGGCCTGTCGCTTTTCTCAACTATCCTGAACACCTCCTCTGTCAGCCAGGGTCTCTGGGGAGGTCTGGACCGCGTACCCAAAGTAGCCATTGCAGCTGCATGAGTCACAATTCTAAACCTCGCCCATTTATCCTCGACATCAGGAGGAATGGGGGATGATGCCAATCCCAGCCGCAAGCGATGATGAAATTCTCGCTATGAAAGTTGCTCCCCACACGCACACAGAGGGACAGACGACGATGACATGGAGCTGCGTTGGACCCTCGGGTGTGGTTGACCTTGCAGCCACTACGGTAAGAGAATTCCCTGCAACTGGCATGACACGCAATCATCACCATCATCACCACCACCACCTCCATTACCACCATCATCACCTACACCACCACCACCCCCATTACCCCCCCTCCCACCCCGTCCGCGTACCCCCGGATGGGGGTGGGGGGTGCTCCTTCTCGGGCTGCGCCTCCAGGCGCTCCTTCAGGCGCTGTCGCAGCAGGAGCCAGAAGGTGGCGTTGTACAGCAGCTGCATCACGTGACACCACGACGACATCACATCATCGGCATCATCATCGTCGTCATCATCACATCATCACGTGCAGGCTCCATGCTGGGGAGGGTGGCTGCTGTATGCAGATCACCGGAGCAGGAACCGGATATCCCTTATTCTTACTGCGTTTACAGCACGCAATCTGACTACTGTTACTTAGAATGTACATGATGGATGACTTTAAAGATTACCTTCGTTTAAAAAATAACTCGCGTAAGAAAGTCCTCGTCAGCAATGTAGGGCAATGGGAATAGTGCAGCAGCCAATGCAAGAAGATCTCACAACAAAGCCTGTGCGCATGTGCCCGCTTAGTCTGTGCCAGTGTGCGCGGCGCGTGCCGGTGTGCGTGTGTACCTTGCTGCCGAGAGACACGCAGGGGATGTCCTCACGCACCAGGCCAATTGGCGCAAACTCCACCACCCCGACCTACGCAGCACGGGGACCGTGAGCGGCGCACAGGGAGAGCCGCCGTGTTTCTCCAGCATACGGCGCTCACGATGATAGCACAATCTAACTCGCTAAACTCAAACTAAACTAATTTTTACTTGACCAGGTAAGTCCCACTGAGCTACACAGATCTTCTTCAGAAGCGACTCGGGCCACAGAATGATATCTCAACGAAGCAGTTTATCACGTGGATACTTACAGTAGTTTATCACGTGGATACTTACAGTAGTTTATCACGTGGAAATTTACAGTAGCCAAATACTCGAAATGCACGTTTCTAAATGTGGAGGGAAAAACCGGAGGATCCGGAGAAAAATCCACGCAACCACAGTGAGGAAATGTAACCTCCAAATATACAGCAGCAGGCATCAGGATGGGGATCGAACCCACAACTTCCTGTATACCAGGCGAGGTAGTTAACATCTTGCCACCGTGGCGCCCTGTCTGTGGCCCCATGCATGTTCCTCAGTTAACTCGCTGAGATTCGAGTGAGTTTCACCGTCTGCTTTGCTAAAGGAGATCTGGGCGACGAATGAACGAGAAGGACGTCAATGTTTGACGCTTATTGCATTACCTGTTGTAAAATTACTACTGTAATCCCTCGTTGTGGGCTTCATATTGTGTTGGGAAACTGCCTATGAGTTGCATAGTCAACTAACGATCCTCACGGAAACCCAAACCTAGCGTCACGGACTTTTTTTGCCGTGCAAGCGAGTTGAGTGAAAGCGAGCAAAATGAGTCCGGCTACGGCACGCAAGAGACTCCTCGGGGCACTGCCCGATGCAAGGCCCTCGGCAGATCTGAGCATTCTTCAGCAATTAAGAGCATCGTGTAAAGAAATGCCCTTGTAAGGTCAAGTGGCTTTTAAAGCTCACTTTGATCGCTTGCAATATTTTCCCTTGACATATTTTTTACATGGCCGTGATCCAGCCTTTGGAAAAAATATAAATCTGTGTCCCTTAGACGGCCGCCTGCCGCCGCCTCCGCGCGCGGCCGGGGATTGGATCCCACGATCCACGGTGTGGCCCCCGCGCCCCCTTTGTGTACGCTTCGCAATTCGACTTTCATCTTCAAGCCCAGCATACAGCATTCCCCGGTTCAGTGAAGGTCCGATTTTGTACGGTTATTTTGTAATTTCTCCTAGTTTAGATTTTATTATTATTGTTACGGCTCATTAGCCAATTTGGTATTCGGGCTATGGCTGCAGGCACAGAGTAGCTAACGTTCCGAGTAACTCATTGCTGAAATCAAAAACATCATTACTGCTCAACTCAAGATTGTCTCCGACACGGGGCGGTGATCTTGTAACACGGACTTCATGCTCAGTGTGTGATCAGATGATGACTATTATTATTATTATTGTTGTTGTTTAGCGAGTACCGAGTGATTTGACCATCGTTACGTGTGAGCTCATTTGAGGACAGCAGTCACCAACTCAGATCGTGGAGATTGCGTCACGTGGCCCAGCGGTAGCGCGCTTGACGCTCGACGCTCACCGCAGAGGTTCGCGGTCCGAATCCGGCAGGCCGCCCTGGTTAATACAGCGGCCGCGTTCACCATAAACTACTCCGCGCCGTCTCCTTCCCTTCCCAGTGGACATTACAGATCCCTCGACGTCACTCGACTCGAGGAGGCCGTTGCGTGCCGGCATTGTGGTGCAAATCAGCGTGAGCCAGCCAGCCGGTCAATACGGCTCTGAGCGAGTGAGTAAACGAGCGAGAGGGTGACTATGCGAGCGAGCGAGCGAACGCGTCTCCCGCTGGCGGAGCGCCGCGCCGGTACCCGCCTTGAGCGGCAGCTCGTGCTCGTTGAGACGCAGGCTCCACACGTAGGCGAGCAGGCAGAGCACGTTGCCGTAGGCCACGAGGAAGGGGGCGCTCAGCATGGTGTAGTGGCGCCGGTTCCGCATCATCCAGATGAGGCACGACCAAAGCAGCAGCACGAAGGTCAGCCAACTGTGGTAGGTGATGCTCCACGCCTGGGACGCGAGCGCAGACACGCGCGGGGGCACACGGTCACACGCAGATGGACATACAGGTTCACACGCGAGTGCACAGATATGCCCATTTTCCTGGTTGTTGGAGCGAGTGCTGTTAGCGAGCACCTATTAAGGGCAGTACGGAAATAATATCCGCACGCCACGCCGGGTACCCATGTAAGGCCGAGTCGACCTCGGCGAGGCCCAGGACTGGTTTAGGTATTCACCACTGATGTTGGCTGCGAGCAGGAATCGAATGTATGTCTGTGTATCCACTAGCTTACAAACACAAAGATCCCCCGTGTAGCCTTAATAGACTGTTGGGGCAAGTGCTGTTAGCGAGCAGCACCTATGAAGGCCGGCACGGCACACGTGGTGTTGGGTGGCCGTCTTTTGTCTCCCCAGTGTTGATGTTTACACTCTACACCAGGTACCGATTTGAGGCTGAGCTGACCTAGGGGAGGCCCAGGACCTGTTAAGATAATCGTCACTGGTGTTGAGTGCGAATCGAACTCGGGTCGCTCAATTTGTAGCACAGTGCGCGAACTGCTACACTACCGCTCCCACACTAGCAGAGAAATAGAGACACACGTACCACACGTAACATACCCTGTTCAGTCAAACCACAGGGGTAAGTCCTGTGAGCGAGTACATCTACAAGGCTGGCATTGCACACACAGGCGGAAGGGATCATGTAGTTATAACCACGCACAACCGCCTTTGTCTCACCAGTGCTGATGCTTACACACGGTTACTCATCTAAGGGTCAATTGGCCTTGGGGAAACTCAGGACCGGTTCAGATACCAATTTTAGAATATTCGTCACGGCCGGGAATCAAACCCAAGTTTCCGAGACTGTAGCGCAGTGTGTGAACCCCTGAGCCACCGCTTCCCATGAACACACACACGCGCACACACACGCGCGCACACACGCCCACGCGCGCACATTGACGCTCAAACGCCGAGAGGGAGGGAGCTATAAATTCAGATAATTCGTATCCCTCGGTGGAGCGCTTGCGGTTTGAAGGGCGCTCGGCAAGTTCCCACTTGACCCGCCGTGACTTCCTGCCAGCTCTCGGAACCTCCAGGACGACGAGGTCACAACGAGGATGGGCAGGTGGCCAGCACACGCCCGGCTCAGAGTTTCCACACGGAGAGCCGACCCTCGCTGATAGCAGCGCGGGTCGCGCCACGCCATCGCGTCACGGCTCAGACACGCAACGCGCTCCGCATTAAAAATAACACCGCCACCTCCTCTTGCACAAAGTCCGTTTGCGGTGGCGGCTTTGTTCGGACAGAGGAAACGCTCTCCCGCCGCACGCGTTCAGCGGGGAAACGCCGACTCCTGCTGGCAAAATCTCACGTTGGAGACGTCATCGTGCAGCACCGTGGAACCAGACTCCACCCCACCCCCCACCATCGAAAATGGGCACACACTGCCCAGCGAGTTTCACCTGTGCCAAAAATAAACCGAACCAAACCGGTGAACGTTACTCACACATGCACGCGCACACACACGCACACGGGGGAATGTCGCGATTTTGGTTTCCCCGTGTCTGAAACGAACACCGGCGAGAAACAACAACAACCGCCATTCGCCACTAAGTAGAGGTGACTTTACCACGGCAACTGTGCCAGGCTATGTGCACGTTAAGGCCATTTGAAGCGTCGGGTGCCCACCGGCAGGTCATGGGACAGACCCAGGTGCCATGGGTGGACTGATTCAGATGACTGGCAGGTGCACCAGCTATACTCCCTACAGTAGCAGCAGCAGCCCCACGCGCCAGAACCCACAGGCCGTTCAACACTCACACGGAGACCCGCCACTCCACCGAGGCCCGTTTCACACTGCACATCGCTGTGAGTGAGCGAGTCAGTCTGTTCGTCCGTCTGCGACGTGTATTTGCGGACAGGTGTATGTGTGCGAGGTTTTGTACCTACGACAAAAAAAAAAACAAATATGGCATTGCGAAGGACAGCGACATTCACGGGGTGAAGCGACGCGCTTCAGAAATTACAACGGTCGCACGGCAACGGAAAATTCCACCGTTCAGTTCGGATGTGGTCTTTGTGAAAAGTCAGTGTGACATTCTATTTATCATTTTATATCTCTGTGGATTTGACCTAATTGCTCGGAGTCAGTCCAAGTCTCCCACCTCCTGGAACAAACGCTTGACGTGAACGGTGTTCTCTTGTCTGCCATCGACCTCGTCCTCTCGTCAGCAATGTCAGAGTGTAACTGACATTGCGCCCGGCGCTGTCCGTGCTCACGCCTAGCGCTAAACAAGAGGACAGGCACATCCCTGGCCATCTGCAGTCTCTCAGTGAGAACCACGCTGCCTCTGCAATGTCATACGTTAATATATTTACCCATTCACCAAAATCTACATTTGTTCTTATATCAGTAATATGAATAAATGTGTCTCTGGTGCACATGGCATGACAATGACGACGACGATATTAAAACAACTTGCGCCGGACTATCATCTTAGCAACAACCGGACTTTGCTAATGACAGTCCAGCATCAGCTTAATGCATCAATTGGATTGAGCTTTTCTGTCCCCACGATGATGATGATGATGATGTGGCTTGCCCCTGCTGCACGCTGGCCTGTTTGTGTGAACAGTCTGTCCTCCTAAAACACGGTCGTAGCTCAATGCCTAAAGAACACAGCGCTATGGAAACATCGCATTATAATAAATGATATAGGTTAAAGCAAGTCCACGATAACATGTGAGATGCGTACGCAGGCCGAACCAAGACAGAAGCATCCAGCAGCATCCCAATGCCTCGTGTGATGCTACGTCGATGCAGCCGTACGACCGCTTATTCCGACTCGCACTACAACGTAGTTCCGTTTGCTCGATCGCGTTATATCTAATTCGCACCCGTGTTATAAAAATGTGTTCCCAAATACATTCATCACGTCAATATATCCAATTCGCATTAAGAAAACACCACGCCGTTATAGGAGAACAGAATGCATCACAGATGTGTACTTCTCAGCAGGTTGCCAGGATTCAAATGGGGCTTGGCTCAGGAATATTTTTGTGTTGTTTGTTTTTCCCCATCAACGGGCGTGAGAGTGAGACTGTGGACAGACACCCCGTGGGCTCGACTCAAGGTGAGCTCACCGAGAGTCATAATTTCTCTCGCCTGGAATTCCACAAAGTTTGGCAACAGCTGCTGATGGAGCAGCTGGAAGCCCGCCCGGGTGTTGGATGGCGAGGGGGGATCGCGTCGAGAAAAATGAAGCCGCTTCAACTGGGCCCAAGCCAAGGGGCTGCCTCGTGGCTCAATCGGGCGGAGTGTCAATTCTGCTTGAGGGTGACGACGATTACGACGATCGTGACGATGAAGTGTGGAAACAACAATTGTTACACGTCCAGCCAATTGTTTTTGTTTACCCACTGCTGGATGTGTACTTCCCCATGTCTTGCAGGCCGAGAGGTATATTTGACCGTACTTCACCACGCCGGTCATCGCGGGTTTGTGAAGGTGCAGAAGGGTGCAGAATGCAGCAATGGATTTTTCTCTGCTGCTCTCCCGCCACGCCTCGCACATCTGCCTTGCGCGCAAGGTGGTCGGTCGCTCATCCAGGCACCCTCCACACTCAACCCTGCTTAGCTTCCGAGACGAGGACGGGTCCATTCTGAGCGACTTGTCCAGAATGCAAGCCACGCAAAACAACCCAAATCTCCCGCGCAAAATACGAATCCGAACAAATAAATGGAAATAAACCGCTCTGAGCATTACTGAAGCGAGGCCACGGCGGGCCTGCGGAGTCGTGGGCCGTGGGCCGGACGCCATCCCTGGCCCCGCGGGGAGTGGGGGTGAAGTATGGTTGCTCAGACGCCGCTTGAAGCTGAGCCCAGGGAGCCGCCCCGTGGCGGCATTCTCACCGCACGGTGCCCGGGGGCCGTCGTGGCCGCTCGCACGGCCCCATCGCTCACAGGGGCAGCCGCAGGGGTCGCTCACATATACACACACACACATACACACACACACACTCATACACTCATACACTCACACACACACTCATACACTCACACACACTCACATACACTCACACACACACTCACACACACACTCACATACACTCACACACACACTCATACACTCACACACTCACACACATACACACACACTCACACACACTTACACACACTTACACACACTCCCACACACTCATACACTCACAGATACACACTCACTCACTCATACAAAAGATCCCCCGTATAGCCTTAACAGACTCTAGGGGCAAGTGCTGTTAGCGAGCACCTATGAAGGCCGGAACGGTACACGAGGGGGTGGGTGGCCAGCACCACGCCCGACCGCCTTTGTCTCCCTAGTGGCAATGTTTTTATCCACCGCACCAGGTACTCATTTGAGGCTGAGTTGACCTAGGGGAGGCCCAGGACCGGCTCAGATAATCGTCACTGATGTTGACCGTGAGCGGGAATCGAACCCGGGTCGCCAGGTTCATAGCGAAGCGCGCTAACCGCTACACTACACTCACAGATACTCACTCACACACACTTACAGATACACACACTCATACACTCACAGATACACACTCACTCATACACTCACAGATACACACACACTCACACACTCACAGATACACACGCATACACTCACAGATACACACTCACTCATACACTCACAGATACACACTCACTCACACAACAACCGCCATTCGCCACTAAGTGGCGGTGATGTCACCACGACGCTTGTGCCAGGCTATGTGCATGTTAAAGCCACGTGAAGTGTAGAACGCCCGCTGGCAGGAGGTCACGGGGCAGACCCTGGTGCCATGGTTCGATTGACTGAGATGACTGGCTGATGCACCACCTGTGCCCCCCACTGTGCCAACTTGCAGTGTGTTAGCCACCCGGCGCTCCGCTCATTGTTGTGAGAGTCACTCCGCTGTCCTCCATTGTTGCTGGACGGTGACTGCCTCCAACTGCCCAGTAGCGTCCTTCACGAGCCTCCTTGACGGAGGTTGATCTCGATACCACTCATACCAGCTGTTGGCAAGTCCACTAAGCTCCACGTCCTCCTGTACCACATCACTCCATCTCTTCTGTAGCCCGTGCCTCGTCCGTTTAGCCCCCTCTATCTGGCTAAACAAAAGCTGTTTAGGCATAAGGTGGCAGGGCATGCGGGCTACATGACCCAGCCAATGCAGCCTTGCATGCCGGAGCTCACTGATGGGACTTTGTCCAGATCTTTCAAGAATTTGTGAGCTCCTCACACAATCCAGCCTGGTTAAACCCAGGATGGATTGTAGGCAGGCTAGTCTAAATGTTTATAACCAGCAAAGATGTTCCATTAGGGGGGTCCACGTTTCACAAGCATAGAGAAGGGAGGGCATGACCGTGGCCTAGAAGAGAATGAGGCGGCTTCGTGTGGAGCGACAAACCAAGTAGCTTCAACACAGCCAATGAAAAGATAATGCCGCTCGACTGATTCTGAGTGAGACCTCTGCTGTCAAACCGGAGCCGGTCATGAGCACACTTTCCAGGAATGGAAAACTCTCCACTCTCACCACAACTGCCCTATCACCAATTTGGAGTTGTGGGGGTGGAGTGTTTGATGGCACAAAATACCCAGGCAGGTGCTTAGTTTTGGTGGGGCTGATGGTAAGGCCCCACCTCTTAGTGGCACACTCCAGGTTCAACAGCAGCGCCTCCAACTCCTCTGAGTAAGCAGCAATCACCAGATCATCAGCATACATAATGTAAAAGCTTACCCCGAGCTCTCAATACTCTGATGGTGCGTTGTCTTTGAGTTGTGCGCCTTTTGGCATCATCTGGTCCAACACCATGTGAGACTGGTCTCTAAGCTGTCTCGGGTGTGGACCAATCAATTTCAAGAACAGTGCATACATTATCAGTGTTGTATTTTTGTTTGAATTTTGACCGCAAGTGTTGTGGTTAATAATGCAAGCATGATTCCTTGTAAAAAGGTATCAGTTTTGTTGCCAGATAAAAGGATAAAAACCTACCATTATACATAACATGGTTGACCAATAGGGAGCCATCCCTTGAGAGCACCCGGGCATTGTTCAGCCTCCCATTGTATTTGTGTAGTGACGTAAATGATGTCATAGGAGTGTTAATGTGCATCTGGAGCCTCTCTCTGGGGCCAGAGTGAGTGCGGCATGCGATCGGGCCCTAGGGGGCATAGTCCTGGTGACGGCCTGAGAGAGGGCAAGTCAGGACATGGTAGTCTGAGTGAGCCCGAGAGGGCACGTGACCGGGACAGGGTAGTGAGGGGGGCCCGAGGGGGGCTTGAGGGACACGTGATGCTCGGTCGAGGCTTTCAAGAAAGGTCTCGAAGAGGCCGTGGCCGAAGGCGGAGCGAGGCCACGCTCAGGAGCATAAAGGGGCGGTCCCGAGAGCGTTCTTGGCTAGTCTGTGGTATCAAGCCTGGGTCCCACGTCTCGTTGGTCTTCGGTTGTCGTCACACTCGGCGTCGTGGGTCGGGCAGGCGTCACTGGCCTGACCCGGTTATCTAGTTACCCCGTTAAAGTGGATAAAGTGTACTTTCATGTAGTTAGCCTGTTGGGTCGTTAAACAAACGTGTTGCCTCCAAGTTCGAGTGTGCGCCTCCATAGAACAACACTACATTTGTACCAGATGGAGATTCTTCCGGAACAGCATGGAAAGCTTCTTGAACTACGTGATCGAAAAAGATGTTAAATAATGTGGGAGCCAGAGGACATCCCTGTCCCACCCCAAGGTGAATAGGGAATGTCTCCGTCTCCCAGCGCTGTAGATTTACCTGGGCCTGCCAACCATCATGAAGGTCCTCAATGATTTTGAGCAGAGAGTCTGGGACTCTGAAAGCACAAAGAACAACCCAGAGCCCAGGCCAATTGATGGTATCATAGGCCTGATCTCAGAATCTGGACCGCCTTCCATACATCCTCAACAGTTGGGACTTCAGCCAGCCACTCACAGGGGTAACTACTTGGAATATTTGAGGCACCGCAGCCTCAGCAGGGCCATCCCCGCCCTCTGATGTTTTCCAGGCCGAGGGATTTCCCCTCACCCGCGACCTCACAGAAATGCTCAGCAAATCTGATGGTGCGGCACTGCAAGTTACTTTTGTGATGGAGTTAAAGAGTGATTTGTGATCGCGGACTACAGAGGCTCAGCAACCCGCGACCACCACTTATCTTTGCAGCGCCGCACGGCTCTCCGAACCTCTGAGCGAAGGCTGCGGAAAGCCTCCTCATTCTCCAACGTGGGATGCTGTAGATGGTGGGAGTGGGCCTGTCGCTTTTTCTCAGCCGAAACACCTCCTCCATCAGCCAGGGTCTCTGGGCACGTCTGGACCGTGTACCCAAAGCAGCCATTGCAGCTGCATGAGCCAGCGTCCTAAACCTCGCCTATTTCCCCTCGACATCAGGAAGAGGTGGAAACGATGCCAACCCCAGCTGCAAGTGATGATGACATTCTTGCTTACAACTTTATCTAGCTGAGACCAGGCCACTGTGGGTTGAAATGGGGTCACAGATGGACACCCACCACCGGAGTGTAAGAATGGCAGATGCATCTTACAGATGACAAGCCGATGGTCAGTGGGCAGATCATACTCACACACACTCAAATATATACACAACTGGTCTAGCTCACTTACTCACACAGATACACATACACACTCACACACACTCACTCACACTCACAGACTCACTCACACTCACAGAAAAAGATTCCCCATATAGCCTGAACAGACTGTTGGGGCAAATGCTGTTAGCAAGCACCTATGAAAACGGCATGGCACACGCGGGGGTGGGTGACCAGCACCACGCCCGGCCGCCTTTGTCTCCTCAGTGCCTATGTTTACACACCGTACCAAGTACTCATTTGAGACTGAGTCAACCTAGGGGAGGCCCAGAACCGGTTCAGATAATCGCCACTGGTGTTGGCCATGAGTGGGAATTGAGCTCGGGTCGCCGGGTTCGTAGTGCAGCATTACGCTAACCACAAATGACTCTTTAATTCCATTCAAAAAAGAAACTACTGCTCCTCACTCACACACTCACAAGGATACACACTAACTCACACACTTACTGTCCGCAAATCCGGGTGAGTGTGTTTTTAATTGGTTAATTTGTATTCTGTTTCGTTAGCATATTGCATTAATTTGCTTTTAAATGTTTCACTGGTGCTCGTGACGACCGTGGGTTTGCTGTCTCTGGGTGGAATGCCGTTTTACTCTCCCTGCCCGACGTATCACCTCGCGTGGTGCGAGTGTGCGGTGAGTGTGGGGCAAGTGTCAGATCAGTGTCGGGTGAGTGTGGGCGAGTCAGGCCGAGTGTGGGGTGAGTGTGGGGTGAGACCGGGGTAAGTGTGGGGTGAGTGTGGGGTGAGAGTGTGGCGTATGCCCGCGTGCTCGCTCACCATCATCGCGATGAGTGCCGTCACGTAGCTCTGCTGCATCAGAAACCGGCCGACCGTCCCAAAGTGTCCCGCCGGGCCCGACCCCTGACCCCCGGCCTCCGCTTCGCCCTCCAAGCTGCACTTTGACCCCTGGCCTGATAAACCTGCAGAATGGAAGGACGTGGTCAGGTCAGGTCAATGTCACTTTCAATTAAAACTCCAACTATAATTTTGTTTTTTCTGTCCTAGGTAAGGCCCACTTGATGCCCAATCGAGGCCCACAATAGAACACCACAAAGCGGGGTGAACGCCTTCCACTCACGTTTTGCTGCAGATGCAGGGCGGGAGAAGACGTAGAACCGTGGCCTAAGGGGACAATCAAAGACCCCTAACTCCCCCCACCTACGTCGTGCTTTGCTAAATTTGAAATGAAAGCATCAATGAATCAGTGAAGCACTCCGGCTGACTCATGACCAGCAGCTGCATCCATGTGAGCCAGGGGAACGGTGGCAGAATGCCACACAGCCCAGCACGGTCGCCTCATCAAAGTGCGATCCACTCATCACTGGGCTAACTTAGCACCTTACAATGTTTACAGTTACACACA